ATCTTGAAAAATTTTTAAACTTAAATTATACTGATAGGTTTCTTCAGATAAAAACTTTGATTAATACAATGGTCTAAAAGAAACTTAACAGTAATTGGAAAAATATCATTGGTTAAAACTCTTATTCTTCCTATACTAAATCATCTCTTTTTAACATTACCAAACCCAAATGCTGAGATGATTAAGAAAATTAATGATGCTATTTATTATTTTTTGTGGAACTCACCAGTTCATAGAGTAAAAAAAGAAGTGTTACACATGGATTATAAGAATGGTGGTTTAAAGATGATAAATATTAATCTATTTATGATAGCTTTAAAATGTACATGGATAAGAAAATTGTTTAGTTCTAACTGTAAATGGTTAAATATTTTTTTTACAAATATAGATAAAGAGAAATTGTTCAAACTAGGAAATAGTTACACAACAAACTCTATTTCAAATGTAAAAAACAAATTTTGGATTGATGTATTTAAAGCATGGCAATATTTTGTAGATAAAGATATAAATTCTACATGGGAATTTTTTCTTGCTAGTCCATTATGGATGAATAAGAATATAAATATCAATAATAAACATGTATTTTATAGAAGTTGGTATAATAAAGGTATTGTTGTTGTAAATGATGTGATTAGTAATAGTGGAAAGTTTCTCTCCTATGGGGAAATTAAAGACAAATTAGATATTTCTGGGAATACATGTATAATGATGTATAATATCATCATATCAGCATTAAATCAGACATAGAAGCTGTATTCAAGGGGAGATAATAATTTTTGTAAGGAAGAAATAGAAACTATAGAACATGTACTACGGAATTGTGAAAATGTCCAGAATTTTATAGAAGAAATAGATATATGGCTTTTATCTAATGGTATAAGTATCTCATTCACCAAAAAAAATTTTTTGTTTGGTGATGTCTCACATGTATACAAGGGTGAAATTTCAAACCTGATTTTTCTGTGTCTTAAACAATATATTTATAATACAAGATATTTCCAGAAAGTTTTATCAATTCATGCTATGAAGAAAATACTAAAAGATATTTATAATCTAGAGAAGTGTATAGCAGTAAGAAACAATAAACTTGAGAGTTTCTACAAATTGTGGATTCAATTTACTCATTTGTTAGATTGTAATTAAAGTCCTATTATAATTCATATGTGAATAACATGATGGAATGTTGATTTGTTAACTAAAATAAAAAATATTCATTAGAACAATATATTTCTTTTCTTTTCTGTTTTATGTATTTAAATTTTTTATTTTTTTTTTTAAATTCACTTATTTTTCCTCAATATTTCAATTCTTAGAAAAACTATAAAACTTAGAATATCTGTATGTTTGTTAAAATAATTATTCTAATTTGATCATACATTTATTTGTGGTCCTTTTTTGAACATTCTATTATGTTATTTTTTTACTTTTTAAATGCAAATTAAAAATGTGGTATTATATTAAGTAACTACAGCTGATATTATGTTTTGTAAAATGAACTAACAAATACTAACAGATATATATTTACATGTTCTATTGCTAACATTAACGAGGCCGGGATAAGGTACCGGTATTCAATGTTTTCATTACTAACAAATGTACAGATTTCAATAAAAAATGAAAATTAAAAAAAAAAAAAAATTGGAACTTATTACTGTTTCCGATAGAACTTTGCCTAGATTCGAGAAAAAGGGAGATAACTATTTCTTCTGAGTTTAAAAAAAATTACAGTTACATCAATGGTGGACTTCAATCTGATTAACTCAGATTACCTGAGAAAATTGTCATTAGAACGCTTTTCCGAACTGCACATACTTACCAAAAAGTTTAATCAAACACTTTACCGAACTGCACACACTTACCGAAAAGTTCAATCGAACTGTAACTCAAAGGTTAAGTAAGATTGCTAGTCCTTAAAATCATTAAATCTTTTATTTTCACTTCAAGACCAAATAAGAAAAATCATGCATGGTCCTTTTTTGAAGGTTTTAATGGTCAGTACCTAATGTACTAACAGTCTATGTATTAATTGGTTTATGCGTAAAAATCTTTTTTCCAAAAGTTTAATAGTAATTTATTTAATTAAAACACATAATGAACTGTATTCGTGACATGCCTTGAATGGAGAGTATATATGCATGTCTTTTTAATAATTAGTTGCTTTATAGCAAAATTTAACATCGACAAGGTATTAAATTCGAGAACACACTGTTTATATTTTCATTTACACATGTTACAGCAATAGTTTTGTTGTATTTTTATTTACTAGGGTAGATGAATTTTTGTTATTTTCCCATTTGTTACACAGTCATAATAGAATGAAATATTAGTAGAACTTTGTAATTTGATGAAAACTATTTTCCAATTTTTATACGACCGCAAAAATTAAAAATTTTTGGTCGTATATTGGTATGACGTTGGCGTCGTCGTCGTCGTCCGAAGACACATTGGTTTTCGCACTCTAACTTTAGTTTAAGTGAATGGATCTCCATGAAATTTTACCATAAGGTTCAATACCACAAAAGGAAGGTTGGGATTGATTTTGGGGGTTATGGTACCAACAGTTAAGGAATTAGGGGCCAAAAATAAGCATTTTTGTAACTTCCAGACATAACTTGTGTGTTAGTGTATGGATCTCTCTGACATTGTACCACAAGGTTCCATATCACAAAGGGAATGCTGGGATTGATTTTAGGGGTAATTGCCTCAAAATTTTAGGAATTAGGCGCCAAAAAAGGGGCAAAAAACAAGCATTTTTCTAGTTTCATGATAATAACTTGTGTGTAAGTGTATGGATCTTTCTGAAATTGAAGTACAAGGTTCCATATCACAAAGGGAAAGCTGGAATTGAGTTTGGGGGTAATTGCCCAAAACGTTTAAGAATAAGGGGCCAAAAAGGGGCAAAAAATAGCATTTTTCTAGTTTCCAGACAATAATTTGTGTTCAAGTGTATGGATCTCTCTGAAATTGTACTGCAAGGTACCATACCACAAAAGGAAGGCTGGGATTGATTTTGGGGATAATTGCCTCAAAATTTTAGGAATTAGGGGCCAAAAAGGGGCAAAAAACAAGCATTTTTCTAGTTTCAGGACAATAACTTGTATGTAAGTGTATGGATCTTTATGAAATTGTACTACAAGGTTCCATTTCACAAAAGAAAAGCTGGGTTTGAGTTTGGGGGTAATCGCCCTAAACGTTTAGGAATTTGGGGCCAAAAAGGGGCCTAAAAACAAGTATTTTTCTTGTTTCCAGACAATAACTTGTGTTCAAGTGTATGGATCTCTCTGAAATTGTACTGCAAGGTACCATACCACAAAGGGAAGGCTGGGATTGAGTTTGGGGCTGATGAATCATAAGGGGGTTCAAAAAATTTAGGGAAGGTATTTTTTTTTTCTTTAAAATTTTCCATTTCTGATTTATATATAAAAGCAAATAATAATGATATGGTTTGAATAGGTAAATTAAAAATTTTTAAGTTCTTAGACCACATTCATTCTGTGTCAGAAACCTATGCTGTGTCAAATATTTAATCACAATCCAAATTCAGTGCTGTATCAAGCTTGAATGTTGTGTCCATACTTGCCCCAACTGTTCAGGGTTTGACCTCTGCGGTCGTATCAAGCTGCGCCCAGCGAAGCATTTTATTCTAACTTCAAATACTATGCTTTCTTGCAGTTTTAATCTACTCGACTAAACCTGCCTAAGGGGTGGTTTAAACTAGACTGTAGGGTAAACAGGTCAAAACGTGATTTTTCAGAGTAACTCATGTAACTTGTACCATTCATGCCATTCGATTGAAACTCTAGTAACTCAAGAAAATTCAGTGACCCAAGTTAATCCAAATCAAAATGACAAAAATGTTGCAAGATTAAACTAGTCTTTTGAAAAATGTTTGATATTTCAATCTGATCTTCAGAACATCAGTCATAGTAGTGGACTAACAAAAGGAACATGGAATAAAATACAATTAATCAGTTCTGATTTAGTTACCTGTGTCCATGCTTTGTTTACATAGACCTGACCACACAATGTTCTACTTTCTGTTTTACAGACCTTTTGTAATTCTCTTGTTTTATTGTAATGAATCACACCTTCATGACCTTCAAAAATTTGTCAGCAGGGATTTTTTTGGCTGATATAATATTTACTAGAACCTTAAGTAGAACAGAGTGTTGTCAGATCATCATCCTTGTAAGGCCACCTCTAAAAAACAATTTGTTTGATGTTGCCTACCCATGCCTCATACATGTCATAGAGTTTAGTAGGTTGGTAGGGATTTAATTTTTTTTTTTGCCAACATCATAAGTTACATGTTATAGACAAGAAAACAATGTTAGAGCATGAAAAAATCTTTTACAAAAATTTTTTTAAACAATTTGTGTTATAAAATTTTTTGGGTAGTCTGCTTATTAGGTGGGTAGGAGGGCAACATCAAACAAATTTAAATTTTGTTTTTGGCCAAAGCAAATAATGTACACAGGATAGCTCTGTATTTAAATCAGATTTTCAGTTCAGTAAAAGTACAAACATAATTGATGAATACTTTAAAACTTCATATTGAAACACAGTTCAAATGAATGCTACCTAAGGGTTCATTATTATTCCTGGGATACTAATTTTCTTGGATTTCGTGGGCATAAGTTAACTATGAATTTAAATGTTCAACGAAGTACACATTTTTTAACAGGCTTGATGGCAGAATTTGGGAAAACAGCGAAATCAAGAACCACAAAAATACAACATGTACAATTTCTCCTCAATCCATGAAAATTGGAATTCATGAAAACAAATAAATCCAAAGTACTTTAACATGTTAGAAATGTACATGTAGTTTGACAATTATTTCAGCAATCATCACTCATTTTCTGTTGAAATCATTTGTTGTCTGTGACATAAAAAACATGAATAGTTTATTTAGAAGTATGTAACTATGTATCTCATGTATCTAGACAGTTGCAAAAGTATCTAACCTCTTGTTAAAATGTAATGTTGTATTTTTTCAGTTTCTGCGACATGAAGAATTTGAAAAGGGATGTGAAGCTGCATGCAATGGGTATATTAATCTGTAGTTGGTTTTTGTTACAATTTCTAAAAATTATTTTTTATGATATTTTTGGGGGAAATTTTAAAGAATACATGCAGACTATCATAATCATGATTATTGAACAAAAAATACATTTTACAACTGAAAGGATTTGTAAAAATGTTTGAATTCTCTGTAAAAAAGAACAGCAACAAAAGTGCTTTTCCTTTTCTTTTGGTTTGTTTCATGTGCATGATGTGTGTGTAATGATTTTGTTTCATGAATTGATACACCATATCCTTTCTCTTCTCTTATTTAGCATGTACATGTATTTCTAATGTAAAATATGTATCAAAATTGTTTCATAAATTTATAACAGCAGAGTTCGTATTTTAGTACAAGCTGTTGATAATGTAATGAAATGTTAAAACACATGCATGACATGGTTTTATTGCAAAGTATTCAACTTTTTCTTACATTTAGAAGTGACAGGTGTAGGTATATGATTGTTAAGACTTATAGCATGTTATATACTGCTGTTGTACAATCAATTTGATTTGACTCCAATAAAACAATAATGAGGGGGAATTTTAAAATTGTATCATTTGATGCCTTTTACATTACCATTTATTTTATAAATAATCAGGAAGAATTCACACCACATTGCAAATACTGTGATATTTGAAGAATGTAAGTCCAGAAAGAGTTCTCATTTGCACATTTCAATTTCCTAGGGATATGTTTTGAAGAGAAATCTGTTATTTACAGTGTGTTTACCTTGTGATAGTCAACAGTAGTGTTATATATATATTCTATTTTTCATTAGTCCATCGTTTAAATTTTCATAGATGTAAAAAAGGGACAATTGCAGCTAAAGTATCATTTTTATATCATTTAGGTATTTGCAGTTTGTAGCTAAGGTGAGACAGAAATTTCTCAGTTCATATCTTCAGTGTGTAAACAGAATAACTACAGGCAGAAGAAAAGCATTAACCAAACATAGCTTTATTAGATACTAATTAAATTTTTGTTATGCATACAACCTTCTTGATTTATACATGTATTCTAAAGAAATTAGTTGCTGGTATCACTATTTTCTTAAATTTTGCTTTGATCTTTTTGGATATAATTTTCCACCTCAAGTGACAAGATTGATAATGGTTTTCCTCAGTCGAGTAAAGTTAGAAGACAATCACGCCATAAGCTAACGTCATTGACATTGTCTAGGAAAAAAGCTATAAACTGATCATCTAAATGCAACCTACGGTCTTTCTCCTTGAGCAAGTTTCTCGGCTACATCTCATCTCAGGGCTATCACCCTTCAATGAGATTGTAGCCTACAAACTCCCTAGTTTTCAAAACATTACATAATCTAAAATTAACAATGATAATATAATTGTTGTAAACATCAGCAAAATTAACCCTATAATTTCTTGAAATGGCAGACCTTATGCAATATGGGCCACTTTTAAGTGACAGACGTATGAAAAATACAGATCTCTTGGCGATATTGTTTAAGATGGATGTATAAGGTTGAACATAATTAACGATGTTCAGAATATTTTGACTCGAACTGAATACTTTAAAACTTATAATTTTATGAAATTATTTGTGCTTTTTCGGCTATTTGAAATGTACCGCAGTTAATCATTTTTGAAAGAACAGACACATTTGTATAACATAAGCTTGCTTATCTTTGTGCATTGTTGTGCTACTAATAATAGTGTTATTTTACACCTTTACTATTTTTTAGGGTTGTCGGCACATTTGCTATTTTAAGTATTGTTTTGGCACATTTGGAAATTTTAGTGTTGTTAGGCACTACTGCATTTTTTTCCTGTTAATGTTTGATACCCCCACTAAATAGGAACTACAGTTCTAAAATGAAGGAAAACACATTTTGTGCTATTGGGTAACTGTCTGATTTGCATATTCACTATATCTTTTTTTGCAAAGATTAATATACATCACAACATTTGATGTTGAAGACCATCCTGCTATTATTACTTGATAATGTTTTCTCTTCTGAAAATTTCAGTCCATATGATGGTAAATGGAGTAAGTCTATGGTAGGATATGGACCAGAGGATTCACATTTTGTTGTAGAGTTGACATATAACTATGGGATTGGTGCTTACAAATTGGGAAATGATTTTAGGGTTTGTATAGTATAGTTAAATTATATACTCTCTAAGAAATCTATAAATTGTACCTTAACGAAAGAATTGAAGAGAGTTGCTGTCATGGCAGAAGGAAATAGTAATGAGGAGTATTCCTCTCCATCGCCATATGTAATGTCTCAGAAGTCTTTTGACAGAACTTCTTGCTACCTTAAGTTCAGGCATGCTGTCCAATTTTTGCAAACAGTTAATGAACACAGGCTTCCTCAGAGTACAAGGTGTATTAATGGGAATTTCCAATATTAAGCAAGCCCTAAAAGAGTCTTTTAAACATGGTAACTTGGACTGAAAAAGTTACATATAATGTCTCAATATGAAAATCTAATATATTCAAATAAAATTGAGAATGGAAACCGGGAATGTGTCAAAGAGACAACAACCCGACCAAAGACTTTGAAAATGCAAAGGTATACTGACTTTCAAATATCTCACACTGAAGTTACATGTACAGGTTTGAACAGAACTGCATTAATTCAAAATTGAGTTTACATCAACCATCACATGATTCATAAGTCACATTCAGTAGCAATTGACAAAGCCAGGAACATGACAAAGCCCATAAATTGCATAATACTGTCATATTTATATAGTGGATATATGGGACTGCTGTTACAGAGATAGAATGCCACAATGGAGATGAGAATTTGTGACTGTAAGGATCAACCCATTCATGATAAGGACTGTAGACCCTTTGACATGATAATTGAGTAATTCTTCCTCATAACCATGCTTGAGTAATTTTTGAGTTGGGTATGCCTCTGGTTGTCCAATTGCCTGAATGAAAAACAAGCTCTAGGGTATCATATCAAATGACAGCTTTTGGGTCAATCTTTTTATGACATTTCCTTTTTAATAATTGGCTACTCTTTTTAAGTACATTTCATTTGTAATGTTCTATTTCAGGGCATAACCATTCATTCCAAAGACATTATTAGAAATGCCAACAAACTAAACTACCCAGTGGTAACAGATGGAGAGTCACAGATTCTGACCTCTCCTGATGGGTATAAATTTATTGTCATGGAGAGAGAAACAGAAGGAGGTATGTCAATTACTCATAATACAGAACAGTACTCATATATCAGTTCCAAATCTGGTCATCCATTCAAGATTATTCTTCGAGTGATCTGATGACTATTGAGGACAGTCACCTGTAAATTGAGTTTCCAAAATTGTCTCTGTTGTATAATACTTTGATGAGAAACTTTTAAATTGAAAGCATGTCAAAGGGGGAACTAATGTATAACTCTACACATGGACAGAAAGAAGAGCTACAAAAAGTGAGCAAAAAGATTGACATAATAAAGTATCAACCTGAACTCTAAAAATGTATTGGACTTCCAAGTGTTCAATATTGTCTGTTACCTCTGCTAGGTCTAAAATTTAGTCCATTCAAACAAAGAAAATAACTTCAAAATCATATTGGTTATCATAACATGGCAAAGTATATAAATATGAAAGAGGAGAAAAAACACATTTATGCTGGGTACAATGTTTGATTGCCAATGAGACAACTATCCACCAAAGTTTGTAAATATCAGGGCACAAACCACAAGATAAATTTCTTGGATATAAGGGTGTTTACCACTTAATAAATTTCAGGGATTTATGGGTACCTGCTACTATTGTTCGGAAAGAAAATTAAGATGTGAAAACTGATTATATAGATGTATACCTGTTTTCTGTGTTTTCTCCTTGAGTATTATTTAGTGTGTCATGGAACCATCCTAAATGCAATACTATGAATGGAATGGATAATTAATCAACACAACTAATGGAATAAGTTTATTTTCTCTTACTTTTACAACATTATCATGATTATACAAAGATAGAAATCAAGTTAAGTTCTAAATATGGAATAACAATAAGTTTTACATAAATTATTAAAGTAGTTTAAAAATCACATATACAGAAAAGCATATATCAACTACAGCTAAAGGGAAATAATTCAAACTTACTTTAGTTGCGCTAATAAAAATTCTTTTGTCACTTTAAAAAAAAATGTTATGGCATGGTGAATTAATTATTGGACCAGTATTCAATTCATCTTTGACATTTCTATGGTAAAAATAATCAAATCATGAAATTTTGAATTTAGAGTTATTTCCCTTTGGCTTGAACCTAGGCTTAATTTACAAAATATTTTAAATTCACTTTTCCTAATGTACCCAACAAAATATAAGTATAATATAAACTTATTGATAAAGAAAAATGTATTAGTTGTACTCAGTTATTTGCAAATATGAATTTTTAGATGATATTTGTTATTTTTACTGAAAAAAACAGATATCTAAGAATTAAACATTTTTTACAAATTAAAATGATCATATTTAACAAAAATTGTTTCCCCTTTAAAAGAAATAAAACCAAGTTGTTGTTCCACTGATTTTGTTAAAATTGTAATATTTTGTTGTTAAAAAGAAAACATGTTAGTTTTCATTCAGGCTTTTTTGTGTTTGGTTGCTGTTTAATTGACATATACTTCAGATCTCCTTTTATTGACTGAGGTTGGAAGAAGACCCAAACCCTCTTATAGTATTGTGGTGTGTTTTTTAGCAACATTTGCAAAAGAGGGTACAAATTTTATATACCTATATAGTTATAACCCAGATCCTTGAAAACCGAGGTGAACCACAAGAAAACATTGTCAACGGATGAAAAGCCAAGGTTGACGTTTTTTCCAAGGGGAACAATTTGCTCTATCCCCCTCTCAACCTGTTTAATTTTATTTATTTTACTGAATTTTCTGTTAATTATTATTTTCTTTTGAATGAAAATAAATATTTTGCTTTTTAAATTATTGGTTTAAAAATTAAAATCATTGTCTTTAGAGATTTTATTTAAAAATCAATTATTGTTTTTTATATGATTAATTTTTTTTTCTTGTGACATTTAGAAAATTGTCTCGCTGAGCTATGTGTAAGAGTAGAATGTCACCTTTTTATTGTCGAGCCTGCGACTTTTGTCGCAAAAGCGAGACATAGCGATCCTACATTCCGTCAGCGGCGGTGGCGGCGTCCACAAATTTTAACCTGTGGTTAAAGTTTTTGAAATTTTAATAACTTTCTTAAACTATCCTGGATTTGTACCAAACTTGGACAGAAGCTTGTTTATGATCATAAGATAGTATCCAGAAGTAAATTTTGTAAAAAAAAAAATCCTGTTTTTCTGTATTTTACTTATAAATGGACTTAGTTTTTCTGCCAGTTAACATTACATTCACTCTGTGGTTAAAGTTTTTGAAATTTTAATAACTTTCTTAAACTATCCTGGATTTGTACCAAACTTGGACAGAAGCTTGTTTATGATCAAAAGCTAGTATCTAGAAGGAAATTTTGTAAAAATATATTTCCTGTTTTTCCGTATATTACTGATAAATGGACTTAGTTTTTCTGCCAGTTAACATTACATTCACTCTGTGGTTAAAGTTTTTAAAATTTTAATAACTTTCTTAAACTATCCTGGATTTGTTCCAAACTTAGACAGAAGCTTGTTTATGATCAAAAGCTAGTATCTAGAAGGAAATTTTGTAAAAATATATTTCCTGTTTTTCCGTATATTACTTATAAAGGGACTTAGTTTTTCTGCCAGTTAACATTACATTCACTCTGTGGTTAAAGTTTTAAAAATTTTAATAACTTTCTTAAACTATCCTGGATTTGTTCCAAACTTGGACAGAAGCTTCTTACAATCAAAAGATAGTATCTATAAGAAAATTTTTAATAATTTTTTCCCCATTTTTGTTGAGCCTGTGACTAGCAGCAGAAGTAGGCGAGACACTGGGTTCCGCGGAACCCTTACGAATTTTTAAAAATCATAAATTGGTAATGTGTAATATGATAATGTAAAATAATAATTCTAAATAATTGAATTGAACCTGAATTTATTGTATAGAAAGTTCAAGACATTAAGTTATGTCTGATTACAAAAACCTATTGAAAATTAAAAAAAACCTCATATAGTCTTTATGAAAATCAGAGTTCAAGACTTTTTGTTTTGAAGATCTGAAATGAATTCAGCCAAAATTAAATGATGTTATTATCAACATTCCTGACACTTGCTTTTTTTTAATGTTTTTCCACATATTTTTATATGGCAATATAAATATAAGGCTAAGAAAATGCTCTCTGTAGTGTGTTCTATATCTGGCCATAAAGTCCATTTAAACTGGCGTTACAGGCTTGTCTTGAACTTGCAGTGAGGTTTGAACTTTTGCCCTGTGTTAAAGGCATTGCTCACTGTAGATTGAGATTACACATTGAAGTGTAGTATCTTTGCTTTTGGTCTTGTTTACTGAATGAAGGATTTTGTGTCATGAATTTATACACGTAACCATTCCTGGTAATTTATCAAGATTATTATTGGAGAATCTGAAATTGGTCATCTACATTGATACAAACCACAACTTGTCTAGACTTTGCCACAATTAAGAGTTTACTTATAATTAGTGATGTCAACTCGGTGAATATTTACTAATCGAGTACTCGTTGGATTTACCGAGCAATACTTGAGTACTCGCTCGGTAAAGCATTGACAAAAAGGAAACACAAAATTGTACCCATTTTATGTATTGTGGGTCGTTGCCTTATGAGCGTAAAACCCTCAACATTATTGGCTAGGACTAGATAAAAGTCCAAGGAATTTTATACCATAATTAATAGTTCATTTACTACATTTACTAATTATGTAAGCTGGCAATAATCTAATCAAGTAATTAATTAATATCTATAGAAAAAGATTACTAATTGGGAACCGTAAAAAAACACATTTAATGATCACCCAAAGGGGTGATGATTAGAACTAACTGATGCCTTTAATCATTTTCTGACGGTCGACACAGGGTGCAATGAATTTGTTCTTATTGAAAAATATTATCTTTTCAACTTTTTCTGGGACGAGGCAATTTCTCAACTTTATTAGGGAACTTACAGTCCTGCTGATGCAAATATATGCTCTGACGGTACACAGGTGGGGGAATAATTAAGATTAGCTAAAAATGTAAGCCTTGGACAAGTGCTCTTGTTTATATATCCTACCTCTGTTTGGAGGAATTTTAAATGACAGTTAAAAGCAAACATTCGAATCGTATTTTAATTTTTATTGATTTTGATTAATATTCAATTTCCCAGGAGGCGCTATCAATAAAAATATATGTTGTTTATAAAGCTTAAAACAACATTCTAACAGGAAACCGATTAGTCGAATATCATTTTGGTAATTGATACTCAGTACTACCGAGCGATACTCGAGTACTCGAGTACTCGTTGACATTCCTACTTATAATGTTGCAAGATATGTATCTTTAAAAACAAAATGGTCACCTTTACAGTGTTCTCCAAAACTGGTAGTCCTGACCACCTAAAAGTAGGTAGGTCCACCAGGTTTGAGTTTAGTTGTGGTCCTGATGTACAACTGAAAGTTTGTGGGTTTTTTTCGATACTCTAACTTAAGTTTGCCTCAACCAAATGTTATGAAACTTATACACAATGCTTATTACCACAAAACTCAGATCAAGTACAAATGTGGGTAGTGTCACTTTTACTGTACTTGAGTTAAGTCCCTTTATAACATTATATGCAAGAGGAGGCATCATCTGTGTCCCATGGACACATTCCCCATTTATTTTTGTTGCTTTCTGGCTAATTACAAATGTATATCAAAATTTTTATGCAACCATATAATTATTTTGCAAAATTGCCTATGAAAATAATTGATAGCCAAAATTTTACTGCAAATACAGGACCACCAAATTTTCACTTGGACCACCAGATTTGTAGTCCTGATGTCCACCAAGCTAATGAATGATTTCAAGAACTCTGCCTTTAGATGTTTATTTTAGTTCAACTGTGCTTTTAGCTTGCAGTTGCATTGATGTTTGCATACATTTCCTTTTATTCATACAGTCATCATGCAACACGTTGTTATGCCTGCCCACAGAATACTAGTATCTTGAACTTTGATTTTCAGATATAAGTAAAAGTATAAACATAAACAATGTGAAAATTACATATTATATATATTATAACACTACAAACAGTACCTGTTTATAACTTTCAGATAAACTATATCTATATGACAGATTAAATTTCTAAAACAAATTATATTGTAAGTTAACAATACAAAAAATTACATCCATTCCATTGAATATTGAGGGAAGTATAAATTAAAACAATTATTACTACTATATGAAAACATATTTCTGGCATGTGATTTAGAAGCTATAAGAACTGTTATAATGTCTATGGTTTGAACTCATGTGTGATTGAAGTGTAAATCTCATGTCTTTAGCATTGTCAACTGATGTTGCATTTTTTTCTTCTTGTTGACATTCTCAGTTAATCCCCATTTCGTAATCAGATGTCGTTCCAACACCTTGACGTTTTCAAACATAACTATTATTTTATTAAGTTTTACCCTTGTCCGTCAGTATGTCCATACATTGGTACGTTCGTATGTCGGTATATCTGTACGTCCCGAAAATGGTTTCCGTTCTCTTACTTAAGTTTGCCTCAACCAAATGTTATGGAACTTATAATGAATGCTTATTACCACAAAACACAGATCAAGTTTAAATTTGGTAAGCGTCACTTTTACCGTTCTTGAGTTATGTCCCTTTATAACGTTATATGCAAGCGGGGGCATCATCTGTGTCCCATGGACACATTCCCCATTTATTAAACCTTATTCTATAAGCAATCTGAATACTAGAAAGGTTTTGATTAACTAAAAAAGTAATATATAAGAAATAGAACAGATCGAAGACAAGTTCTTGAATGACACTAAAAGGACTAGGACTTACACAAATTGGGGCTGTATCTATAAATTATATATTCAGTTTCTGTTAATATAAAATAAGAACATGTGGTATGAATTTCAATGAAACAACAATCCACCAGGGACTGAATGCCAAGATGTTAGCAACTATAGGTTTCCATACAACAATGAGCAAACAGAACCAATACCACATATCATTTATAAAAACTACCAACGTATCAAATGGTAAAACCATTTAAATGAGAAAACCAACAACCTAATTAATATATTTGTACAAAACCGTTAAAGAAAAACAAACTTGATATACAGTAACAAATGACAACCACTGAATTAAGGCTTCTGACATGTGACAGGCACATACAGGATGTGGTGGCATTGTAAAACATGCAAGAGGGTGCCCCTTCACCCCTGTAACCTGGTATAATGGTGAAACAGAACATATCAAGGAAAATAATTCAAATTAGAAAACCAGGCCTAATTTATGTATAAAACAATAAACGAAAAACAAGTTATGATAAACAGCAACAAACAACAACCACTCAATTACAGACTTCTGACACTTTGGACAGGCACATACAGAACATATCTTAGCATTTTTGTTAAGCGCATTTGACCAAATTAATAAAAGTTATCTTAGTTTCCTAACTTCTTCTTGTAATTGTTCTCTTCTCAGTGCAATGCATATATATTTTTTTAATTTGCCTTATCATGCTTATTGATATTCCCTTTAAAATTATTATTTCAATAAAAGTTAAACAGAGTTATACCTCATGTCATTTATATACAACATACTTTACAAAAAGGGAAAATTTTTAACAAATACTAATTTTAATTTTAATGATAGTGAAAGAAAAATGTCTACCATGTAGTGAAAAAGGATAATATAGAAACCGAAGAAGGCCAGTGGCCGAAACGTCTTAAAAAATGGTTTATTTACTACAATAGAATACTAGAAAGATACGATAAACTTAAACATTAAGAAATAAGATTACATATATTATTTAACTACAGAACAGCCTTGTACCCAGGTTAAAATTCAGCTTGCTACCTAGAACTAAAAATATTATACAAAAAGAGTTTTACAGGTAATTCATAATACAATTGTTGACTGAATGAGCAAAGCATTCAAAAGGTTCTCCTTCAAAACTAAATCAGCATTTTGGGGGACAAAAGAATCTTTGCAACAACAAGACAGTCATATTAAATCAGCATGTTTATATTCAATACTCATTGAAAAAATATCTTTTAAACTATATTTGGAAAAAAAACCTTACTTGGTACAAAAATGTGGAAGTGATATATAAAAAGCTCACAAGCGCACATTGGTAAAAAAAAAATGCCAATATTTTTGAAACACACTTTAAAATAGAAGCTAAACAACATTTTTATCAATAATATACCGGTACTAACTCCAGACTCCTTATATTATGAAAACTCCAAACTCCTTACATTATGAAAACTTCAAACTCCTTATATTATAAATATAAACATACCCCATGCAGTACTTGCTTTTTTTAACATTCATATAAGACTATGATCATCCCAACATCCCAATCTGATTGAAATATAGATCCTGTAACCACGCTTTGCTTCAAGGATCTGATGACGCTCCATTCTACTTTCAGATTCAGAGATTTTGTTGAATGATACACATCCTCAAACATTTAAAGGCAACAATTTAGTTGACTAATATAAAAATTATCAGAACAGAAAATAGAACCAAGTGTTTCCAGGTCCTTGTGAGCAAAGTGTGTACAAGTCATCTGTATTTTAATCAGATTGTGATCATCCAGTGATCAAATCATATTATAAGTTCACATTATTACTATATATCAATGCAAAATACAGATTTGGAATATCACCATGCACAATAAACAGGAGACTGAAGAATGTTAATAAAGTTTCTTTAAATATAATAAAAAAAAAAAACAGCGATCATTTGCAATATGTTAAATGTAAAACATACAATTTATAAGTCGAAAAGTGTAAATTTACATTTAAGCATAGGAGTCAGCAATTTGTTTCTAAAAAATATATATTTTCCATTAGACATTTCAAGGAGTTTCTTGAACACACGTACAACCTATAACAATTGGCAGAAAAATCTAAATGCTAATAATTTGATATAGACATATGTTATGAGCATGCAAAGTTAAATTAGACAATGATAGAATAGGATGTTTGAAAATGAGAGGATATGATAAATAAATGGTTATGCATTGTACTTTTTAATTTAATTTTTTTTTTAAACTAAGTTGATCTATAAGAGACTTATGACTCATGTTTAATGTCTTTCTTCAAATTTTATAGAATTTAAACAATTATGAATGTTTTCTATCATAAAATTGTCCTGAAGACGCCACCATAAGTGTCGAAACGTGTAGACCAGAATAAAGCATTTCCTTGCAGTAATCCAGGATGTTGTTGTCTTTTTATAGTTTTATTTTCCCGAGGTTTTAAGACAACCACAGCATACTTTGGCATCCATCCTAATTACTTTACCAGCTTTTCCTGTTAGAAGGTGTTGGTTCACTCGATGCATATTTTTAATTTTGAATGTAGTTTAAGAAAAATATTAAGTTTACACAAGTCTTACTACTTGCTTTTTTGGTTCTATTGAAAAGATAAGTACAATTTACATAAAATATAAATGTAATGAAATACAAAATCCTGACAACTAAACAAAATGATGTTATAGACCTTTTCCTAAGAATTTCAAAGCTTTTTTCAATAAGTTCTTTTGAGAGAAAATGCTATATTTTCCCATAATAATGAACATTACTGCAAAATTCTGTGGGGATATATAACATTCATCTTGTGCAAGTCTTTATTTGAAACCAGTCAAAAATTATCATGAACTAAGTTTGATCATGAAAAGGCACTCTAAAAATGCTAAGAGTAAACAATGGCCTATAAATTAGTCAAGCTTTGTTTTGATTTATATATATAAATAATCATATGTATGTTGGCTTGAAATCAGAAATCAGAAATCAGAAATGTTACATATTTTGACACCTTCTTCTTTTCTATTTACAGACCCAGTTAAAAAGGTTACCCTGTCTTCTTCAGACTTGGACAAATCTGTTGGTAAGTAGATAGATAGCATATACTCAAAATTCAAACTTTTAATTAAAATGTCTACTAATAAGCAGACTTCACCAAATATGCCAGACAGTTGGACAAATCAGACACATTTGCTGCTGTTCAGACAGATATAATATGGCCATTTACTTATCCAAATGTCTGGTAGAGAAAAAATTTTGTAACCATTTTCATGTGCCAAAATAAAAATAAAAACCACTTTAAATATATTTTATGTCAACATCATCGTTTTTAATAAAATATAAATATTATTTCCGCCAATTTTTCTGATAAAATTCACGATTTACACTATAAAATTCTTTGAAAACTGTTAAATTTTATGTAAATGGGTAAAGAGTTTTAAACAAAACCAGTATAAGTTATATCTCTGCATTTTAATGATAAAAGATGTTTCTTAAATTTTTCAGTCTAATTGATTAATTTCAATCATATGAACAATTGAAATTTGTCCGACTAAATGTCTGACAGTCCATTGATCAGTTTGGCGAAGTCTTGAGTAAGACCTTTCTATGGAAATTCACTCCAACTGCTACTTAATTGTTCAGTAATCAGACAAATTTACTTTTTAAGACACTGTATTTTATATCCACTGTAACATGAAATGAAATTAGATTACTACTCCCATCCAGGAGAGGTATCTGTCTTTAAGTTTTTCACCAGACCAAAATATAAAGGTTTGTTTTTTGGGAAAAACAATGAATGGCTCACTAGGGACAGTGATTTTAAGACTCAATAATGCCAAATCAAAGATTTATCCAAACTTAAGTATATACTTTGTAAAATATCAATACGTCTGATATTTAAACAATTGTCACTTATACATACACAGTGAATGAATATATAGTAAATGAAAATTACTCATATTATGAAATTGTGCCTCCTAAGCACTTCCCTGGATTTACCTCAACCCTAAACATATGAAAGCCTAGGATGTATAAATAGATAGAAATGTTGTAAATGTTTTTTGGCCTGCTTAGTTAAAGCATCTACTTTTGTAAGTTTCGGAATTTTCTAGTCTGATATTATTGTTTATATGGACTTAAACTCTATTGGAAGAAGAAAACAAAGTATATGCTGTAAATTATTTCTTTGTTAGTACTCATAGAAGTTAACTTCATAAAGTTTAGCTATGTCTGAGCTATCATCTACGTTGCTGCATCCAATATAGAGTTGTCCATCTGTACAGAAAGCCAGAGACATTGGATACAGTATGCCTATATCTTCAGTCTTGTAGTGTGTAATGTAGTTTCCATCACTATCAAGGATGTGCAGTAAATGACTTTTGAGGTCTGAAGCTATTATATTGTCTCTTGGGGTTATTGCTATTCCACTACACCTGAATGGATGCTTTGTATCAATATCTTTCCTTCCTTCATAAGTATTTATAACTTTCCCTGCAGTTCCTAGAACTATAATTTTGTATTTGTCTGCTTCCGTATCAACATCAAGAACACAAATGTTGCCACTATCAGTACTAGTTACAACCAATGGACATTTGAAGACAGGTTTGTTATCACTATCATGTTGATAGATAGCTTGCTGCTTTCCCTTTAGATCCATAACAATGACAGCTGCTCCATTGTCATTTGCCACCCCAACTATCATTTTCTCTTTAGTAATATGGATAGAACATGCCTCAAAAGGTGCAATATATATGGAGTCAATTACCTGATTAGTTCCATTGCTTATCTGTTTTATTCTAGAATGCTCTGTACAAAGAAGGAGGTCATTGGAATTATTAACTGCTAATCCATAAGCCTCTATATTAGATGTGTGTAATACTTTCAGATGGTTGCCTTCTAGTTTGACTTTCTGCAACAAGGAGGATTGAGGATCACTTAGCCATAATGAATTATTGGTATCTGCTGAAATCAAACAAATCTGTTTTAATTCTGTTTGAAATTCCTTTGATGTTTCAAGCATTATTTCAAAATTTGGAATTTTCTTCATTTTCTGCAATGATCCAAAATTTGACTGTATAATCTCCCCTGAAGCAAATTGGGTAACTATATAATCTGGTAATTTGATTGATCTTAAATTCATTTTATCTAATGTTAAGTTTTCAATTTCTTTGAAGAATGTCGCTGCCTCTGTAGTCCTTGAAATATCTCCTAGTTCAGTAGATTGCTTGTTGGTCTCTAATTTCAACTTTTGTATGTTGTCTTTACCTTCATCATATGCTTTTATTGAACTTTGATGAATTTGATCAAGATCAGAAATAAGTTTTTCTGAAAACATAGCAACTTTTTTAATAAGAGATGTCTTTTGAGCTAGAATATCCTTTTTTGCCTTATTATAACTTTCTGATTTACTTTGGTTTATTTTTTCCAATGTAAGTTCATCCTCTTTTAACCTTCTTTCATTGATTTTCACTTCTGTTTGCTGCTTTCTAACATTAATCATTTTCTTTTCATAAAACTCCTTTATTTCTCCCATTTTATGTCCATTATGTTTTGTTGAAACACAAGTTGCACAAACTAAGTAATTGCAAGCTTTACAAAATAAACAATAATCTTGACCTTTATGTTTTATACATGGAATGTTGGAGAAATCTATGTTTGTCTCATCTCCTTCAGCAAAGAGACTGATCTCTTTTATGTCACAAATCCTATGTTTACCAGCATTTTTAAATTTTGGATGTATTTTATATCTACATGCCTGACACATCAGGAGGTTGCAGTCTTGGCATTTCCATTGGATCTTAGGGTTACTTTCACAGAGTTCACAATTTATTGGGAACTGTCCCTTAGGTATGGACTTTGAAAATGCCATCGTCTGTAATATTTGGCCTCTTTATTCACTCACCTAAAAAAGAGTTGTAATGAAATGACTTTTACTGGTATAAAATACTCATTTATACAAAACATTCAACTAGAAAATTACACAGATAACTATGATTGGTTACTGATTGAATTTAAAAGTGTAAGTTCAAATTGTCAATATATGTTTTATAGGATTGTTTTTATACCCCAAGCAACAAAGTTGTGGATGTTATTATGTTTTTGTCTCATCTGTCCATTCTTTTGTCTCTCATCACACTTTCTTGTCACCATACTAGCACATTCATTTTTGTCGAGCCTGCAACTTTTGTTGCAAAAGCGAGACATAGCCATCCTACATTCCGTCGGCGTATTTGTCGTCGTCGGAGCAGTGGCGGCGTCCACAAATATTCACTGTGTGGTTAAATAACTTTCTTACACTATTCTGCATTTCAACCAAACTTGGACAGAAGCTTGTTTATGATCATGAGATAGTATCCAGAAGTAAATTTTGTAAAAAAAAAATCCTGTTTAACCGTATTTTACTCAAAAATGGACTTAGTTTTTCTGCCAGTTAACATTACATTCACTCTGTGGTTAAAGTTTTTCAAATTTTAATAACTTTCTTAAACTATCCTAGATTTGTACCAAACTTGGACAGAAGCTAGTTTATGATCAAAAGCTAGTATCTAGAAGGAAATTTTGTAAAAATTTATTTCCTGTTTTTCCGTATATTACTTATAAATGGACTTAGTTTTATTCCAGTTAACATTACGTACAGCCTGCAGTTAAAGTTTTTAAAACATTTATTAGATTCATAAACCCTCTTGGATTTTTACCAAACTTGAATAGAACTTCTTACAATCATAAGATGGTATCTAGAGGAAAATTTTTAATATTTTTTTACCCATTTTTGTTGAGCCTGCGACTAACAGCAAAAGTAGGCGAGACACTGGGTTCCGCCGAACTCTCACGAATTTTTTGTCAGATCCTCTTCAATTATGAATGAGGGAAATTCTAATCAGCAAAATCATGGATGAGTTCAATAATAAGAAAATATGATCAAGAGAACCTTTCATGAGGAGGACTTGTAAAAATATTCTGAATTAATTTTTGTTGCAAAGATACAGCCTTCAATTCATATCAGATCCTCTTCACATTTATATGAAGATCTCAACTTATCAGAATTTAGATGAGTTTGATAATCACCAAAAAAAAAAAAATTCGGGACCATTTTGTTGGAGAAGGACTTGTAGAAATATACCATATCAATTCTCTTCAATAGGATTGATCCGTTATTTCACATACATGACAACTCAGTCACAATGACAGGGATTTGGGAAGAGAACATTTAAAAAATATACGTATACCAAAGATTGTCTCTAATAGAGGAGAACCTTTATTAAGCTGAACATTGCTATCATACTTCTTTATTTTGTAACACTTCTCACTATTAAATGGCATTTAGGTTACATTAAACCAATGTATTTTTTGTTTCAATAACTTTAACAATTGAATAAATGATATTTAACATCAACATTTTTTGTTAAATAAAAGTTGTCTCTATGTATATGTGCATGGCCAATTTTATTTGCTATAATCAACGTAAAGAAGCATTACCTGTCAAATTCATGTTTACCACAATTCTCATATTTTATTTATAACGTACTAAAACATATATCCAAATTATCTAAAGTCTAAAAGAAACAATTAACAATGCATGGGCTTGCTGTAAATTGTATCAGCATTTCATACATATTTTAGGCCAGATGCCATCTAATTATCCATTTATTTTTCTAGGTCTGTTTGATTTCATGTTATAGGTTAAAAAATATATGTAAATCATGGTTTTACCTGTATAAGAAATTAAGAATAAAGTTTTATACGTCTGTTTACGAGACGTATTATGGTATACTGTTGTCCGTCTGTCGGTCCGTCGTCAACATGTCGGACAGTAACTCAAAAACCCTTTCACCAATTTCATGAAACTTTGGTGAATTATTTATATCTATTGACGTAAGCTCCCTTTTGATTTTAATAAATTTTAGATTTTCAATTTCCGAGTTATGGCATTTCTTAAAAAATGCAGGATTTTTCCAGTTTACAGACTATAACCGAAAAAAATTCTTTGACCAATTTTCATGAAACTTTGGTGAATTGTTTATATATTGACATAAGTTCCCTTTTGAAATTTAAAATTTTCTGATTTTACATATTGGAGTATTGGGACTTTAGTCATAAAAAAAGGGGGGATTTTCCAGTATTTCGGACATTAACTCAAAAATGCTTTTAGTAGTTATCATGAAACTTTGGTGACTTGTTTATATCTATTGAAATAAGCTCCCTTTTGTTTTTTATAAATTTCTGATATGACATTGCAGAGTTGTGAAACTTTATTAGTTGAAAAATTGTCGAAAACTGTCCAGTTGGCGACGGGCATATAATGCGCTCATGGCGCAGCTCTTTATTGTGAGATGGGTCAGTCAACGAAATAGTTATTCCTAGTGTCTTCTGTTTTTTCACCTTTCAATGTTGACATAATGAATGAACATGCTGACCACCACATGCTAAATACATGCCCTGCCCATCTCGTCCAAATTTGAAGTTAAAGGTTACATAAATACGGATTCTAATGAGTTGATTTATTGACTTGCAAGTCAGTAATACAACAGTGATATATTTTAGTTTATTTTGACAAAATTGAACCAAACTGACTGCTTAGTATAGCGAAATATTATTTCTTTATTCTGCTTTTATAAATGTTTAAAACAAAACAAAAAATATTTTATTTTTTTGTCCAATTCATATAGCTAATGCCCCTTTAACTAAATTTATTTCTTGTAATTAGTCTACATAAATAATAGACTTACTGACCAGTGAGGGTTGTCCTGGTAAATCATATTGAACCCATTAGTTCTGTTACCAGTAAATAAACTTTGGGTAAGTGATCAGTTATGAACCATTTATCAATCATTCTTCAGTCTGAGCATGGAAGTACTGTAAATTCAGAAATTATTGCGTGCATTTATTATTGCGATTTTGTCATTTTAGACTAAAATGGGATTTTAATTTTTGCGATATTGAGAAAAATCCTGTTTAATTCATATAAAAAATTTCAAAATGCTAGTTTAAACTATTGCGATTATAACCCTGTTGCATTTTTCGCAATAATTAAAACATCGCAATAATTTCTGAATTTACAGTAATATTTAAAAGGAATAACAACGACTAATTAGCATGTATTAATGGCATGTAGAGCTCTGTACTAAAGTCATACGATTTTATCCAATTATAGTCTCAGCAGTAAGACCCCTTTTGGTTACTATCTGTGATACCGCGGTTCTAAAATAGCATCTGGAATTTCTTATCAGTCACATGGTTTTATCGAGTCCGGTAATTATAGCGCACCTGTGGGAAATCCCTAGTTTATTAATAACAAGGTAGCGCTGTATCACATAGAACTTCTACCTTTAGAAAGAAATCGAATGGTGAAAAAAACTTGAAAAACGGACGAGAATTGTATAAACTACAACAGCTTAACATGGTAAGTTGTAATTATTTTTGCATATTTTGGCTTTTTACTGTTTGTTTTAAACTGATTTAAAAGCATTTTCCGGTTGAAAGCGGATCTCAAGTAAAAACAGGTAATAAAGATGATGCGATCAGGGTTCACATGATGTATAACAAAATAATGTAGACAGATCTAGACATATGATATTTTACTGTTGAAATGTTCCAAGTTTATTGAGCATTAGAAAAAATATTAACTTTCAAATAATTTAGACTTACATGAAATAAAAGTCATAAAATACTTTATTGAAACATGAAATTAAAATGGTTAGTGGTGCTACCGTATTAAAATTTATATAAATTTAAAAAAAAAAGTTTTGATAACATTAACACATTTCAAGAAAGAGAAAAACAATCAAACAAAGAGAGCATGACGCTATTTCTATCGGCAGTTTTATTTTTAGTGAGTCATTTTAAATTTTGTGTACAAATTAAAAGAGTATAGTAATTGAAGGTTAAAGTTGTTTTAATTGATCAGATGATAGTGTATAGAAGACTGTTCAATACAAGGTTGTTTATAAGGCCATGAAAGTAGTATATTAATTTTCATTCTACTTCCATGTTAAGGCATACAATTTGTAAAATTATCTTCTTAACTTTTAGAAATGGAGTTTGAATTTGACTGCCGTTTATGTGGAAAATTAGAAAAGAAGACCACACATCGTCATTTGCCTTGTGAAAAATCAAATCACGCAAGGGACATTAAACTAACATGAAATATTGAAATTGAAAATGATCCTCCTTTTTTTCAAATTTCATATGTGAAAGCTGTCAGCTTAAATTAGTAAGATGGAGAAAAGACGTTAATAAGAAAAAGAAAGTCAAAATCAACATTGAGGTAGTGGCAATTGAATCATGCGACAGCTTGTCCCAGTCACAAGTGAAAACAAACAGTACTTGGTAAGGTATTGAATCATTGGCAAACGAATTAGGATGGGTTTCTAACATTCAAGATGGTTCAAGATGTTTTATGAAATTGCAGGAGGATAAAGTTCTTTTTAGCATATTTATTGACTCCGACCTGAACTGCAGAATCATAGTCTTAGAAAAAGTTGTTAAATTTGAAAATATTCTTAAGATAGCACAAGTATCAATGATGCATCAATTGTTGAAAAGTTGACGAAGAAAATTACATGTATGAAGATTTGCCCAGAAAACAATGACTTTTCTGATATTTGTCGTTATCGGTATCCTAACACATGTAACACACTAGCAACATTTAGAAACACAGAAGATATATTATTAGCATCTGAAGAAAATTTAGCACATGGAACAACAATACGCACAGTTGCGTGTGGTATGTTATGTGATAGCCAGCAAGAAAGATGTTCAAAATGTCAAGTTTTCCGGCCAAACCTCTTCATGCAACGTAGAAGAATGAAAAACAATTCATCAGAAACAAAGCTAAAGCACAGACTTGATTACATGACAACTGGTCAGTTGAAAGAGAGAGTATTGAACTCAAGGGATGAAATAAGAAGTCTTAAAAGAAAAATGGACAGTCTAAAAGAACAGTTATCTAAATACTGCGACAAGTTAGGAGTGAAGTTGGACGTTGGAATTTCAGAGTCTTTTGTAAGCATAATGAAAAAAAATAATGACATTGCGTTATCAAAATTTAAAGAAAATAGTCCACAATACATTCTTTGGAAACAGCAACTAGAAGCGGCAACAAAGTCAAATCTGAAGCAAATGAGATGGCATCCAACTTTGTTAAGGTGGTGCATAGCTTTGCATTCAAAATCTCCATCTGCTTACAGAATGGTTAAGAAAAGCAACGTACTAACACTTCCACATGAGAATACACTCCGGGATTATACAAAGTTTACTAGTACAGGAAGTGGCTGGAATACTGACGTGATCGACAGAGCTTTACTGGACTATAGCATCTTAGATGACCCCCTGAAACAGAATATTTCGTTGCTGTTTGATGAAGTGAAAGTGAAGTCTGGACTTGTATACTGTTCAGAATCAGGTCACAGATAGTAACACTCGTGGAAGGCGATATCCATGGAATGGGTTTGCGGCTTCTTCCTCGGATCACTTATGAACATCTTCATCTAACGCCAACTTTGAGAATGAGAGTCAAATTAGCAGTACAGGTTAGTTTTTGTTTTTTATATACTAGTACTCTGTACTAGTGCATGTGGTAAAAAAATATTAAACTCCAAAGAGACAATAGACATTTGGCCTTTTTTTAAATACAGAATAGGAAGGAAAATTATATTTATTTTATATACATATGGTCTTTTAAATATCAGTATTTTAATTTCAGTTGTGTTTTATTTCTGTTATAATTCTTTTCAGATTCATAGCTCCAGCGTTGCAAATGCCCTACAGCTCAAAGGCAACCCAGAAACTGAGTCAACACAACTTTTCATAAGAATGTTTGATAAATTTTTCGATTGCCTGAATGTGTCAAATACCAATTCAGGCATCTTTCAGAGGAAACCAACTTGTGCACCATACACTGATATCAATGATTGGAGATTTAAGGTTTGTATAAATGTTCTTAGTACTAAAGAATTAAGTTTTCTTTTGATTTGTGATATACTAGTAGACCCTGAGATCTTAAAAGCTCTTTCAAAGAAGTTAAAATGTATCATTAGACTTAAGAATACATGTACATACATTGTACCCAGGATCCAAATGAAAATAAGGAGATGTGGTATGGTTTGCAATGATCCACCTATCCATTGTGGATGCAGTAATATGGCTCTGAATCTCTTCAACAATAAACAAAACTCATACATATGGTAGGAAGCTTTTAAAGGCTTCATGTCATGATTATCGTAAGATAAAAATACTTATTGTCATGCTTTTCGTTTTTTCTGTTTTGAATGTTGTCTCATCAGATTTTACCTACATTTTGTATAGTCATATCTATAAAATTGTTTTAATGAAAAAAACTTGCTTAGCAAAATAAGTTTTGCATTACTTTTTTTTGCAACAGTGGCTAGAGGAGGATTTCCTAAAGTTTCTAGCCAGATGGGAGCAAGAAGGAGAAATTCAAGCAAATCTTAGTAAAAAGGAAAAAAAAAAAAACTTTGCCTTAGCAGGGTAACCCTTGAAGGACTGAGAATAACGGGTAAATTCTTATTTTTGAAAAAGTTTATTTCAAATAATTTATCATTCTTTTACATTGCAGATAAATATTATCTGAATAATTGTGCTAGGATTAAGACAAATTTTGACTGTTTTTATGGTTAGTTAATATGTTTATTGACCTCATCACTATAAACAAGGTGAAATTAATAATTTTACTCATTTCTTTTTCAGTTAACTCATTTGTGGAGTTGGGAAAGCAACTGCTTCTGCTGCCAAATGTTCGATTCCTGTTGAGCGAGAAGTTTAACCAAGATCCACTTGAGGAATACTTTTCAAAGCAGAGGGGCATGGGAGGATTTTGTGATAATCCTACTGTTAGGCAATTTCAAAACAATGCATTAAAGTTGCAAGTTGCAAATGCTCCTGCAGTAATGGCATCTACAAGAGGAAACTGTCAGACAAGACAAAACACACAGCCGATTGAAGCACCATTAAGCAAACGGAAACACAACAGACATTGATGTATATTTTATAAGAGTGTTTAATTTATAACATAATTCATATAAGACATCGGTCTTAATTTTATTTCATATAGCTACAAAATGTACAACAATATTTTGAGGTTGTTTAATTTTCCTTATTTAATTCTTTTCTCATACTTTTTTGTGATTTTCGTGATATTGAATTCTCTTGTTTTTTCTTAATATACATTTGCAAATGCTTTCAGTCTAAGATTCACCCAGCTTGTAATAAATTTATTAAGAAGATATAATTTAATGTCATCACTCTCTGTTTGCGTCATCAATTCCATAAAAGCCTGGTTCACTGACTCACTATCCCCAATCTGCTGGTGGAGCTCATCCTTTGTGACATGCAGACTTGAAGATGCTCTATTTAAATTGGAGCGAATAATGATTTCCATTTCTTTAAAAAATATGTAGACAGGATCACTTACAGAGAAAAGTCCACCCCTATTAACAAGGATAAGCCATTCTTTTGTATAGGAGAGTAAATTTCTTGTGTCAACTTCAGATTCAGAAATCTTAAAGTTTTTGATAATGTCCCAACACTGTGCATACATAGGATTTCTTTGATATTTTGCGAAATGACGTGATAACTTTCTACATATATATCCTGCAGTAAATCTTAAGGCCTGTTCTTCAGATTCAGTAATGGTCAAAACAGATGTTTTTTCTCCTGATGTTGAAGGAATAGGGTGTCGTTTCTTCATAAGTTCCTGAAACAATTGTTGTAGAAGAAATTGCAATACTAATCTACAAATTCGGGTTGAATAATTTTCAATTTCTAAGTTGTCCATAAAACTTATAAATGTCAATTTTATGTCTGCAGACCCTCTAATTTGATGGAAGGATGCAGCTTTTTTTTCAAGTCGTGTTGAAATTTGCTGCTTACTGTTGTCGCCTTCAATAACAGATGGCCAAATATGCTGAATTAACATTTCACAATTTTCATTTGCTGCATTACTGTTTTCCAATTTTTCTACAGTTACGGTCAACATATCGTTTGTCATTGGGTTTACAAAACGACTCTGAACTTATAGTTTTTAAAGTATCAAGCACAACTGTCTTGGCACTTTCTTTAGCTTTCTCTAATGTGAATGCTGGAAAAATAGAAACATAAATAATAATTGGCATAGATAAAGGCTGAAAAGTCAGAATGATAATCATTGCTACAGAAACGAGATCTAGGTGTCCATCGTTAAAGACTATATATTGCCAGATATCAATGATTATTTTTGTCCTTGGGTTGTTGTCTCATTAACATACATTTTGTACACAATGTACACAAAATATCCCTTTCTTCAATAATACATGCAAATGTATTATGTTGTATGTTTTATGTCCAGTGGCAAATATTTCATGCATATTCCGGACAAAGAATACGAAAGGAAGGATCTACTTTATCGGTAAACCATATACAGTGTATAGGGCTAAAAATTTTGGACTACCAGTACCTACTTAGACTTTACAAGGTGTGGATGAATATCTAGATAAGCCAAAAAGAAGGGTTTTACTGTCCAATTAAAGTCATATCGATGACGTAAAAAAAAGGCAAAAATTATTTCCTAAACACTTCTTCCCAAAATGAAAATGTACCGTAAAAAAACATTTTTTTGGACAATATTATAGCAGCTTACCATATTCCTTTACAGTATTCCCGGACTTAGTTTTTTTTGGTTTGGAAGACTTCTTTTCTTTTTCTGAAAATTAAAACAAATCAAACATAAAAAAATTGAACATTTTGACAAATGCTCAAAATATTGATTTGCCATAAAATTTTCATATATTTTATGGGTAATAAATAAATTTGATATTTGTCATCCCGTCAATTTATATCAATTTACATTTTAACATGTATGTTTTAAAGAACAATGTTACAGTGTGTCAATATTCTAAATTTTAACTTATATTATTCATAAAAAAGTATTAGATACTAATAAATGATATAGCAGGCTATTATATAAAACTATGATTCCTGTATCAATGTTATACAATGAATAAAACACTTTACAATTTATTCGTCTTTGATGTCTACATGTAAAAAATAAGTGTTTGCCAAATATGTATTCTGACACACATGTATGCACAGAATAAAAAAAACTTTTGTAAAAATTAACATACCCTAGACTACAATTGGTTTGTCATGTCCAAGACACTCATAACACACCCAATCTGAAGGTCCGTCATCTATTGAAACATTTAATCCAACACAGCGTATATGGTAAAACTTAATTTTACAGTCTGGACCCTCACATTCTATTAAATCAGCCACTGCATCTGATTTGCAATGGCAATAAACTTCGGTTTCAGTTTCCGAAGTTTCAAAGTCATCAAAAATTTCATCGGGAACGTCCTCCATCTTTACAAACTATAGTTTTTTTTAAACCGTTATTGATGGTTTTCAAAGATAACTTCAGACAATTTTGACTTCCTTAGTTTTTATGACAACATCCGGTTTGTTCATATATTTCCGTGAACACGACAATAACTGGAAAGTGTCAGTGATTTGATCTATCACATGCCGAGTAGTCAATTACCATGCCATATATTAAACCAATTAACGAGTTATCGAAAGATGGGCGGTAAAGCAGATGAAACCTTTGAAGTGACGATGTTGTTATTCCTCTCAATATTACTTCCATGGTCTGATAAAATCCTGTTGAACAATAATGCTTAGCAGTTTTAGCTTTGTAGGCTATGTTATTAGAAAGACAAAAAAAAAAAAAAAAAAGAAATTCACAAGGATCTATATTACTAAAATATACATCCTTGCTGTCAGTAATAGGCTATTGGGAGCTATTTGTTGAATGCTTTACAGTACAGTCACATTTTATTTGTTAACTTCTAATCTAGTTTCTTGAAGATGTCACTGTCTCATTAACAACTGCATCACATATATACTACAGGAAACTGACCTTTACATTTAGACAGTAAAACACCATTCTCTACAATAAGTCTGCCCATTTTAATTCCTGCTATTTAAAAGCACAAATTATAAATGTTTACCTCTGACATCTGATAAAGTTATTTATAGTACCCATTCAAACATATGTTTTTACCTGACTTTTATTGATTACAACTGGTTGAACATTAAAGAGTACATTTAAATTGTAAGGTTTTTTGTATAAAGATAAGTGTTTTTGTGAAGATACTAACCTTGAATATAGTTAAATTTTAATACATGTAGTAAGTGACAGGAATGTGATCTAGACACATAGACCAATAGAGTTGTCTTTCTTTGATTAGATATAGGAAGATGTGGTATGAGTGCCAATGAGACAACTCTCCATCCAAGTAACAATTTATAAAAGTAAAACATTATAGGTCAAGGTACAGCCTTCAACACGGAGCATTGGCTCACACCGAACAGCAAGCTATAAAGGGCCCCAAAATTACTTGTGTAAAACCATTCAAACGGGAAAACCAACGGTCTAATCTATATAAAAACGAGAAACGAGAAACACGTATGAACTACATAAACAGACGACAACTACTGTACATCAGATTCCTGACTTAGGACAGGTGCAAACATTTGCAGCGGGATTAAACATTTTAATGGTACCAAACCTTCTCCCTTTTCTGAATCAATAGTATAAAATCACAACATAGAAAGACACACTATAAAATATCAATTGGAAGGCTTAGACCACCATAATGTATTATCTTATTTATAAGTGAAGTTTTCACAAATAAGACATTTAATATTGCAGATTATTGGACAAGATTGTGTGGTATGAAGGTTTTTTCACAAGACAATAAGACAGCTGTGTTAGGGTATGATGATAATCAGGTTTGTATACTGCCACAATATAATACTGTAAATTCAGAAATTATTGCGAGGTTTTTATTATTGCGAATAATGCTACTAGGTGAGTATCGCAATAATTAGAACTCGCATTCAGATATCTTATACACACATCAGTATGCAGATTTTCCTGAAATCACAATAATTAGTCTCGCATTTTTGTCCATTCTTCAAAAATAGCAATAATAAATAAATGCAATAATTTCTGAATTTACAGTATAATATTTTATCTGAAAAAAATAGAAACAGTTCTTGTAGAAATTTTGTCTTTGTTGAATTTATGTAATTACTTCATTCTAATCCATGATGCTTTTCAATGAAAGTTTTAGGGGACAAACCATATAAAATCTTCTCTTAACACTATTTAACCTAATGAGAATCAACTTCAGAAATCATTGTGTGTGTATCTAGTTTCAAATTCCAAAATAATCAATTGATAATGTACATTAATCCGATCTTTTTTTTTTTATATAACTGCAGAGCATGTAGGAACCAGATATTATTGAAATGGTCATTTGTCAGATTTTGTTATTTTTATTCTTTTTTTGTTGGGTTGCTGTCTCATTGATTTATACCCAACACCTTTAATTGCTTAAACTTCCAGTCTTCAGTATCCAACTATTTTCTCTTTATTAATATAAAAGGTTTGTCAGTACAGTAATGAAAAAAAATAATTTCACTATCTTTAATTTCTGAAAGAATTTTATCAATTTTATTTTTGCAAAATTCACTTTTCAAAACAAGTTTGTGAATGTTATGACTGAGACATCACATGATACTAGTATAATACTGAATCAACTGCAATAATGAATATTTATCACTATACAATCATCTAACATTTATTTTTTTGTGGCCCATGGTTAATTGTTTGTATTGGTTATGCATGTTACAGTGAGATTGTCTACCTACCTATGCCAGTATTTGTTAGTTTTCTTTGCCAGATATAAAGTATAAATTGTTTATATTACTCTGCAGCTCTGTTCTTCAATGGACAGTTGTGATCAGCCTCTAGTAAAAATTCTGTTCATACTAGTGCTAAGGTCCTTAATTATACCCCACGCAACGAGTTGCAGAGGGTATAATGTTTTTGACCCGTCCGTCTGTCCGTCCGTCAGTCCGTCAGTCTGTCAGTCCGTCAGTCCGTCAGTCCGTCAGTCCTGTTTCTTGTCATCGCAACTCCTCTCAAACCACACAACAGAATTTCACGAAACCTTTTTAGATCATAAGGACATACTATGTAGTTGTGCATATCGACAGGAAATTACGATTCAATTCTTTTTCTAGGAGTTACGCCCCTTTGAACTTATTTACTTTAATGTACTACTGCAACAGTTTGTCATCGCAACTCCTCTCAAACCACACAACAGAATTTCATGAAACCTTTTCAGATAATAAGGACATACTACATAGATGTGCATATCGACAGGAAATTACGATTCAATTTTTTTTCCAGGAGTTACGCCCCTTTGAACTTATTTGCCCAATATATTACTGCAACCTTTTGTCATCGCAACTCCTCTCAAACCACACAACAGAATTTCATGAAACTGTTTAGACAATAAGGACATACTATGTAGATGTGCATATTGACAGGAAATTATGATTCAATTTTTATACGACCACAAAAAAATTTTGCGATAGTATATTGGTATGACGTTCGCGTCGCTGTCGTCGTCCGGCGTTGTCGTCGTCCGAAGACACATTGGTTTTCGAACTCTAACTTTAGTTTAAGTGAATGGATCTCTATGAAATTTTACCATAAGGTTCAATACCACAAAAGGAAGGTGGGGATTGATTTTGGGGGTTATGGTACCAACAGTTAAGGAATTAGGGGCCAAAAATAAGCATTTTTGTAACTTCCAGACATAACTTGTGTGTAAGTGTATGGATCTCTCTGACATTGTACCACAAGGTTCCATATCACAAAGGGAATGTTGGGATTGATTTTGGGGGTAATTGCCTCAAAATTTTAGGAATAAGGGGCCAAAAAAGGAGCAAAATACAAGCTTTTGTATATGGACAAATACTTTAGTACAAAACATAATTAAAAGCAGTGTAAGGGAGATAAATCAAATACATCATTTGAATTACCTCCCTTAAACTGCTTTTAAATTATGTATTAAGTAATGGTTAATGAACAATTAAGACAATTAAAAACAGTGTAAGGGAGGTAATCCACATACAACGTTTTGATTACTTCCCTTACACTGCTTTCAAATTATGTTTAAAGAAATGCATATTTATAAAGGAAGACCAGTAAAAATATCTGCAAATGTTGCATCTTTTTTATTTTTACCAAAAAATTCATATGAAAGATTTGACACCATATTTTAAATTCTATTATAAAATAGATTAAGTTAGCACTATTGTAAATTTAAATGGGTAATTATGGTTGCAAATTCCATTGGAAATTTGAATTGAGATTATGACCATATCTTGAGGGAAAGATTTTGGGGGAAAAGGGGGGGGGGGGGGGTAAAAAGAAATTGTGGGGGGTCAATTTTTTCTTATTTCAGATTTCAGAAATTAAAAAGAATTATTCTTCAAATATTATTTTTTTTTCAAATTTCAAATATTGAAAAATTTCACGAAGTAATCTTTAATTGCAAAGTATGGCGCATTAGATTTGTAAAATCTTTGACCACATTTATTTATTTGTTATGCCATATCTCACCGTGTATTTAGATTTTTAATTTTGGGTCCAGTTTTCAAATTGGTCTACATTAAGGTCCAAAGGGTCCAAAATTAAACTTAGTTTGATTTTAACAAAAATTGAATATATGGGGTTCTTTGATATGCTGAATCTAAACATGTATTTAGATTTTTGATTTCGGGCCCAGTTTTCAAGTTGGTCCAAATTAGGGTCCAAAATTAAACTTTGTTTGATTTCAACAAAAATTTAATATATGGGGTTCTTTGATATGCTGAATCTGACCATGTATTTAGATTTTTTATTTGTGGGCCCTGCTATCAAATTGGTTCATATTGAGGTCAAAAGGGTCCAAAATTAAACTTTTGTTTTATTTCATCAAAAATTGAATTATTGGGGTTCTTTGATATGCCAAATCTAACCGTGTATTTAGATTTTTAATTTTGGGTCCAGTTTTCAAATTGGTCTACATAAAGGTCCAAAGGGTCCAAAATTAAACTTAGTTTGATTTTAACAAAAATTGAATATATGGGGTTCTTTGATATGCTGAATCTAAACATGTATTGAGATTTTTGATTTCGGGCCCAGTTTTCAAGTTGGTCCAAATTGGGGTCCAAAATTAAACTTTGTTTGATTTCAACAAAAATTGAATATATGGGTACTTTGATATGCTGAATCTAACCATGTATTTAGATTTTTATTTGTGGGCCCCCCTAACAAATTTGTTCATATTGAGGTCAAAAGGGTCCAAAATTAAACTTTGTTTTATTTCATCAAAAATTGAATTATTGGGGTTCTTTGATATGCCAAATCTAACCGTGTACTGTGGATTCATTATTATTCGTTGGATACCATTTTTTGTGGATTTCGTGGGTACAACTGAACCACGAAATTAAATGTTCAACGAATGACATATTTTGTATAGGCTTGTACTCAGACTTTTGGTCAAACCACGAAATTAAATATCCACGAACATGCAAATTTTCACTAATCCACGAAAATTGGTACCCACGAAAATAAATGAATCCACAGTATTTAGATTTTTAATTTTGGGTCCCGTTTTTTAAATTGGTCTACATTAAGGTCCAAAGGGTCCAAAATTAAACTTAGTTTGATTTTAACAAAAATTGAATTCTTGGGGTTCTTTGATATGCTGAATCTAAACATGTGTTTAGATTTTTTATTATGGGCCCAGTTTTCAAGTTGGTTCAAGTTGGGGTCCAAAATTAAACTTTGTTTGATTTCAACAAAAATTGAATATATGGGGTTCTTTGATATGCTGAATCTAACCATGTATTTTGATTTTTGGGCCCCGTTATCAAATTGGTCCACATTGAGGTCAAAAGGGTCCAAAATTAAACTTTGTTTTAATTACATCAAAAATTGAATTCTTTGGATTCTTTGATATGCTGAATCTAACCATGTATTTAGATTTTGGATATTGGACCATAATAGGTAAATTAAAAAAAATTAAGTTCTTAGACCACAATCATTCTGTGTCAGAAACCTACCGTATGCTGTGTCAAATATTTAATCACAATCCAAATTCAGAGCTGTATCAAACTTGAATGTTGTGTCCATACTTGCCCCAACTGTTCAGGGTTCGACCTCTGCGGTCGTATCAAGCTGCGCCAAGCAGAGCATTTTATTTTTTCTGATACAATTTTTATTCTGATACAATTTTTATACGACCGCGTCCGAAGACACATTAGTTTTCGCACTCTAACTTTAGTTTAAGTGAATGGATCTCAATGAAATTTTACCATAAGGTTCAATACTACAAAAGGAAGGTAGGGATTGATTTTGGGGGTAATAGTACCCACAGTTTAGGAATTAGGGGCCAAAAAGGGGCCAAAAATAAGCATTTTTGTCGAGCCTTCGACTTTAGTCGAAAAAGCGAGACATAGCGATCCTACATTCCGTCGGCGTCGTCGGCGGCGGCGTCCACAAATATTCACTCTGTGGTTAAAGTTTTTGAAATTTTAATAACTTTCTTAAACTACCTTGGATTTCTACCAAACTTGGACAGAAGCTTGTTTATGATCATAAGATAGTATCCAGAAGTAAATTTTGTAAAAATAAAATTCCATTTTTTCCGTATTTTACTTATAAATGGACTTAGTTTTTCTGCCGGGAAATATTACATTCACTCTGTGGTTAAAGTTTTTAAAATTTTAATAGCTTTCTTAAACTACCTTGGATTTCTACCAAACTTGGACAGAAGCTTGTTTATGATCATAAGATAGTATCCAGAAGTAAATTTTGTAAAAATAAAATTCCATTTTTTCAGTATTTTACTTATAAATGGACTTAGTTTTTCTGCCGGGAAATATTACATTCACTCTGTGGTTAAAGTTTTTAAAATTTTAATAACTTTCTTAAACTATCCTGGGATTTCTACCAAACTTGGACAGAAGCTTGTTTATGATCATAAGATAGTATCCAGAAGGAAATTTTGTAAAATAATAAATCCATTTTTTCTGTATTTTACTTTTAAATGGACTTAGATTTTCTGCCAGGAAACAACACATTCACTCTGTGGTTAAAGTTTTTAAAATTTTAATAACTTTCTTATACTATTTTGGATTTGTACCAAACTTGGACAGAAGCTTGTTTATGATCAAAAGCTAGTATCTAGAAGGAAATTTTGTAAAATAATAAATCCATTTTTTCCGTATTTTACTTTTAAATGGACTTAGATTTCCTGTCAGGAAACAACACATTCACTCTGTGGTTAAAGTTTTTTAAATTTTAATAACTTTCTTATACTATTTTGGATTTGCACCAAACTTTAACAGAAGCTTGTTTATGATCGAATGCTAGTATCTAGAACGAAATTTTGTTTTCTTCAAGTTAACATTACATTCAGTCTGCAGATAAAGTTTTTAAACATTTATTAGATTCATAAACTATCCTGGATTTTTACCAAACTTGGACAGAAACTTCTTACAATCAAAAGATAGTATCAAGAGGAATATTTTTATTGATTTACTTCCTCATTTTTGTTGAGCCTGCGATTAACAGAAAAAGTAGGCGAGACACTGGGTTCCGCGGAACCCTTACGAATTTTTGTAACTTCCAGATATAACTTGTGTCTAAGTGTATGGATCTCTCTGACATTGTACCACAAGGTTCCATATCACAAAGGGAATGCTGGGACTGATTTTGGGGGTAATTGTGTCCAAATTTTAGGAATTAGGGGCCAAAAAGGGGCAAAAAACAAGCTTTTTCTAGTTTCATGACAATAATTTGTGTGTAAGTGTATGGATCTCTCTGACATTGTATCTCAATGTTCCATATCACAAAGGGAATGCTGGGATTGATTTTGGGGGTAATTGCCTCCAAATTTTAGGAATTAGGGGCCAAAAAGGGGCAAAAAACAAGCATTTTTCTAGTTTCATGACAATAACTTGTGTGTAAGTGTATGGATCTTTATGAAATTGTACTACAAGGTTCCATATCACAAAGGGAAAGCTGGATCTGAGTTTGAGGGTAATTGCCCAAAAAGTTTAGGAATAAGGGGCCAAAAAAGGGGCAAAAATAAGCATTTTTCTAGTTTCCAGACAATAACTTGTGTTCAAATGTATGGATCTTTATGAAATTGTACTGCAAGGTTCCATATCACAAAGGGAAAGCTGGGTTTGAGTTTGGGGGTAATTGCCCTCAACGTTTAGGAATTTAGGGCCAAAAAGGGGCCAAAAAACAAGCATTTTTCTAGTTTCCAGACAATAACTTGTGTTCAAGTGTATGGATCTCTCTGAAATTGTACTGCAAGGTACCATACCACAAAGGGATAGCTGGGATTGAGTTTGGGGTGATGAATCATAAGGGGGTTCAAAAAATTGGGGGGAGGGATTTTTTTTTCCTTTTTTTTCTTTAGAATTTTCCATTTTAAATTGGTTATTTCTGATTTATATATAAAAGCAAATAATAATGATATGGTTTGAATAGGTAAATTAAAAATATTTAAGTTCTTAGACCACTTTCATTCTGTGTGAGAAACCTATGCTGTGTCAAATATTTAATTACAATCCAAATTCAGTGCTGTATCAAGCTTGAATGTTATGTCCATACTTGCCCCAACTGTTCAGGGTTCGACCTCTGCGGTCGTATCAAGCTGCGCCCTAGCGGAGCATTTTATTTTTTCTTACACTTATTTTATTTCTCCAATGACAATGTGGGGACGTGGGGTATGTGAGCACGCTCACTAAGGTTCTTTAATTTGCAGTGATGTGAAAGTTTTTGCTCCATGTTGAAGACCTCCCACTGACAGTGAGATGAAGAACAGCAATACAAGTGCTTTTTTCTTTGCTTTTGGTTTTGTTCCTGGTAGTGCTTTCATGTCCTGAATTGATACTCCATATCCTTTGTTTTCCAAAATTAAAGGAATCGGCATAGTTTTACCCCCTGGAATGTCAAGCAGATCAGTGATTAGCAATTAGACAATTTTGAAAAAAATCTGAAGTAGATTACTGGGTTCATTAATATTTTCCCTTTTAATGTTTATCTTTGACAGTAATTTGAGGACATTTTCAATATAACATTTTCTTGTCATTATAGTGCAAGTTAGAATTGTATGAAATAGGAACAGATGTGGACCATGCCTCAGCTTTTGGAAGAATTGCATTTGCTTGTCCAGGAATAGAGGTAAAGTAGACACAGTATCTTGCTTATAATCAAGGTTTTATCCAGTCAAATTAATACTGGTGTAAGGCAGAGTAGAAAAAATAAAAAAAATGTCACTATTGAATAATAGCATGAAAATTTGGATCTTTTTTGTCGAGCCTTCGACTTTTGTCGAAAAAGCGAGACATAGCGATCCTACATTCCGTCGTCATCGGCGTCCACAAATATTCACTCTGTGGTTAAAGTTTTTGAAATTTTAATAACTTTCTTAAACTATCCTGGATTTCTACCAAACTTGGACAGAAGCTTGTTTATGCTCATAAGATAATATTCTATTCACAAGTAAATTTTGTAAAAAAAAAATTCCATTTTTTCCGTATTTTACTTATAAATGGACTTAGTTTTTCTTCCAGTTAACATTACATACAGTCTGCAGTTTAAGTTTTTAAAACATTTATTAGATTCATAAACTATCCTGGACAAACTTGGACAGAAGCTACTTACAATCAAAAGATAGTACAGAGAGAAATATTTTTATTAATTTTTTTCCTCATTTTTGTTGAGCCTGCGATTAACAGCAAAAGTAGGCGAGACACTGGGTTCCGTGGAACCCTTACAAATTTTTTTGTGACTTGATTGCTTTATCTTATCACTTTGACTTTGATTGCTTTATCTTATCACTTTAGACTTTGATAACTTGACTGGATGTTTCTACAGCTGTTGGTTAAAATTTCCAACCAGTTGAACAGTTTTATTGTGGAGCCTGCGACTTTTGTCGCAGAAAGCTTGACATAGGGATAGTGATCCGGCTGGTGTTAGCTAAATACTTAAAAGCTTAATATTTCAGAAGGTTGAAGACCTGGATGCTTCATACTTTGTATATAGATACCTTATGTTATGAAGTTTCCGTCTGTCATATGTCCTTTATCCTTGACCTCATTTTCATGGTTCAGTGACTACTTGAAAAAAAAGTTGTGATTTTTTGTAATGTTAATTTCTCTCTTATTATGAGTAATAGGATAACTATATTTTGTATGTGCATACCTTGCACAGTTCCCATGCCTGTCGGACAGTTTTCACCGGACCTCGACCTCATTTCATGGATCAGTGAACAAGGTGAAGTTTTCACGGTCAAGTCCATATCTCAGATACTGTAAGCAATAGGTCTACTATATTTGGTGTATGGAATGATTGTAAGGTGTACATGTCTGTCTGGCAGGTGTCATCTCACCTTGATCTCATTTTCATGGTTCAGTGGTTAAAGCTAAGTTTTTGTGTTTTGGTCTATTTTTCTAATACTGTATGCAATAGGTCAGTTCTATTTCGTGTATGGAAATATTTTATGATGTACATGTCAGTCTGGCAGGTTTTATTTGACCTTGACCTCGTTTTCACAGTTCATTGCTCAATGTTAAGTTTTTGTGTTTTGGTCTGTTTTTCTCAAAACTATAAGAATAGGTCAACTATATTCAATGTATCGAATGATTGTAAGGTGTACATGTAATTCTGACTTGGTTTATCTGACCTTGACCTGATTTTCTTGCATCATGATAAGTTAATGTGATACTTGTAGTCAAACTTTATATTTAGGGCTATCAACATAAAATCAATAGTAGTAAAGTAGGCAAGACATTTCAGCATGTGCACTCTTGTTTCATAAAACAAATTGCAATTAGGTTAGCATTTTGAATGAAATGCAATGGAAGGAGAGAAACAATCAAGTCACTGTAAATAGAATTCTACTTTGAAATCTGCTAGAAAATATTATGGTATAACTGAGCATTCAAACAACATTAAAAGATAAAACCATATAATTTACATAGATTGTACGCATGAATAAAGGGAAATGTAATGTATACATCTATGAGACAACAGAACAACAACACAAAGCAGATAATACATCTTAAGGTCAAATAATAGACTATTGTCTATACCATATGTCAACCTCTATATAACCCAGTTCTAGAAGAGTTCTGCCACCAACATTGGTTCTTTTCAAGGAAGAAAAAACGGCAGAATGTATAAAAAAAAAACAAAAAAACATGGATTCTTACTTTCAGACCGACAAAGACTACTGTGGATTCATTTATTTTCGTGGGTACCAATTTTCATGGTTTAAGAAAAACTTGCATGTTTGTGGATATTTAATTTTGTAGTTTTGCCGAAGTCTGCATACAAGCCTATAGAAAATTTGTTATTCGTTGAACATTCAATTTCGTGGTTCACATGTACCTACAAAATCCATGAAAATTGGTATCCAACGAATAATAATGAGTCCACAGTATACTGACCTTTTATACAATAAATTTGATTTTTTTTCTCATAAATATTGTATTTCTGAATTGATTTTTAATATTTATTTTCTTTTCTTTAGTTGCCTGATATCCAGAGTAAGATGAAGGAAGAAAACCAGACCATTCTAACAGATCTTATCAGTTTAGACACTCCAGGGAAGGCCACAGTACAAGTTGTCATCGTAGCTGATCCTGTAAGCATTACTATGTTCAATTCAATTCAAATTACAAACTTACTAAAGTATACTTAGCTGATCCTATAGGTAACAGTGAAATACAATTGTATTCGAATTTCAAAAGCTTTATTAGTCCCCTACCGACGAAGTTGAAGGGGACTTTAGGTTTGCACTCCGTCCATCTGTCTGTCTGTCTGTCTGTCTGTCTGTCTGTCTGTCTGTCTGTCAGTCAGGCAAATCAGTTTTCCAGACTTTTTTCTTCGTGCTTGAAGATATTGATTTTATATTTGGTTTATTGATTTATCATGACAAGTTACAGGTCAAGTTCAATGTTCACGATTTCAGCTTTTCTCTTTGTTCAGTTAAAGCCCTTTCCCTAGAATTAATTTTTTGATGAAATACTTATTATTAATTAGTAGATTTCTGTTCAAAGGGAAATAACTCATTTTTAAAAAAAAATTTAAAAGACAAAATGACATTTTGGATTTTTTTCCTTTTCTTTGGTAAATTGTTTGAAGAATTTAGTGGAAGTTTGTTTGTCATTCTTGAAGATATTGATTTGATAATTAGTATATAGTATTATCATGACAAGTTACAGATCAAGTTGGAATTTTGTTCCAGTCTGATAATTTTGTGCAGAGTTATGGTCTTTGGACATAGAAAATTCACTTAAATAATCAGTTTTCAACAGTTTTTTTCGTCATGCTTGAAGATTTTGACTTGATATTTTTATGTAGTTTACACCATGACAAGTTATAGATCAAGTTAGAATTTCGTTCCATTACAATGAATTTGTAACCGGTAGGGGACTATGTATTGCCATGCAATACTCACAGAATGCTTGTTAAAAATACCTTACATCAACAAACGTGTTGCTAAAAAAAGAACAATTTGGGTAAAAAACAGTTTTTGGCTTATATCTCAAAAAACTAAAGCATTTAGAGCAAATCTGACATGATAAAAATTATCAGTAGGTTATGATCCATTTCCTGCAATATTTTCAGAAAAATCAGACAATCCATTTTGTAGTTATTGCCCCTGAAATGTCAATTTTTAGGAAATAAAAAAAAAACTAAAGCAGTTAGAGCAAACAAATAAGTAAGATCTACAAGTAAGTCAACATGGATGAATTGTCCAGTGGCATAGCTAGGCGAAAGCTCGGAAGCCAAGGCTTCAACATCATTTTGATAAAAAAAAAAGGGGGGGTAGAGAAGGTGGAGGAGAAATGGACTCTGTGCGGTTTTTTAAATAAAAAAGTTGTTGAGGTCAACAACATCACTTCTCAGACTCCCGTTCATTCCTTTCCCCTGCGCTGTATTCCCCCTCTTTTTATAGCTGATGAATATTGTGTCTGCAGGGTGTTCTGCTTAGTCACAATGCAACACAGAATTGACAATTTCTTTACCCATAAGAATTTTGATAGTGCCATTTCATCTGACAGTACAGACACACAGGCTTTACAAGATGATTCTTCAATCCAGAAGCCAGAAAGTCAAACAAGTAGTAACAATGACTTTGCGTGCAGTTCAACTTTGTTCCCAAATGTATATGGTCCTTCATACCCTGACATTGGTACCCTTACGAAAGAAAACTCGGACTTCTCTTAAACTGAGTTTTACTGTGCGTACTGTTGTATGTTTGTTTTTTCTACATTGGCTAGAGGTATAGGGGGAGGGTTGAGATCTCCAAAAACATGTTTAACCCCGCCACATTTTTGCGCCTGTCCCAAGTCAGGAGCCTCTGGCCTTTGTTAGTCTTGTATCATTTTTAATTTTAGTTTCTTGTGTATAATTTGGAGTTTAGTATGACGTCCATTATCACTGAACTAGTATACATATTTGTGTAGGGGCCAGCTGAAGGATGCCTCTGGGTGAGGGAGTTTCTTGCTGCATTGAAGACTCATTGGTGGCCTTCGGCTGTTGTCTGCTCTATGGTCGGGTTGTTGTCTCTTTGACACATTCCCCATTTCCATTCTCAATTTTATTGAGAAAGGATGATGACGTTAAATTGTTTTTTGTCGCAGAAAGCTTGACATAAGGATAGTGATCCAGCGGCGGAGACGCCAGCTAACTTCTTAAAAGCTTTATATTTTAGAAGCTAGAATACCTGGATGCTTCATACTTTGTATATAGATGCCTTATGTTAGGAAGTTTCTGTCTGTCATATGTCCATTGTCCTCATTTTCATGGTTCAGTGACTACTTGAAAAAAAAGTCAACATTTTTTGTAATGTTAATTTCTTTCTTATTATGAGTAATAGGTCAGCTATATTTGGTATGTGCCTATCTTGCAAGGTCCTCATGCCCGTCAGACAATTTTCATTTGACCTCGACCTCATTTCATGGATCAGTGAACAAGGTAAGAGTTTCGTGGTCAAGTCCATATATCAGATACCATAAGCAGTAGGTCTACTATATTTGGTATATGGAATGATTGTAAAGTGTACATTTCCAACTGGTAGGTGTCATCTGACCTTGACCTCATTTTCATGGTACAGTGCACGTGGTCAAAGTTAAGTTTTTGAGTTTTGGTCTTTTTATGCCCCTGCCCTAGCGATGGGGGCATTAAGTTTTACCCTTGTCCTTCTGTACGTACGTACGTACATACCTCCCAAAATTGGTTTCCGTTCTCTAACTTGAGTTTGCCTTAACCAAATGTTATGAAACTTATACACAATGCTTATTACCACAAAACACAGATCAAGTTTGAATTTTGGTGGCGTCACTTTAACCGTTCTAGAGTTATGCCCCTTTATAAATGGAAAAATTGCAAAACTTTTAGTTTCCGTTCTCTTACTTAAGTTTGCCTCAACCAAATGTTATGAAACTTATACACAATGCTTATTACCACAAAACACAGATCAAGTTTGAATTTTGGTGGCGTCACTTTAACCGTTCTTGAGTTATGCCCCTTTATAAATGGAAAAATTGCAAAATTTTTATTTTCTTCTAAATATCAAGTGATTTTTTAAATTGGAGTTATCTTCCTTTGTCCATGATTATAGTTGAATCAACTACAATCAATGCTTATACAATGCAATGTTAAATTTTGACTTCCACTGATAAAACACAGATCAAGTTGAATTTGGGTAGTGTCACTTTAACCATTATTTAGTTATGCCCCTTTATAAATTGAAAGATTGCAAAATTTTTAGTTTTCATTCTGTAACTTAAGTTTGTCCCAACCAAACATTATGAAACCTTTACACAATATTCATTACCACAAAACTAAGATCAAGTACAAATTTTTTGTTTCCGTTTTCTAACTTTAGTTTGCCACAACCAAATGTTATGAAACTTATACACAATGCTAATTACTACATAATACAGATTAAGTACGAAATTTGCTGGTGATACTTTTACCAATCTTGAGTTATGTCCCTTTATAAACATAAAAATTGCTGAATTTTTCGTTTCTGTTCTCTAACTTTAGTTTGTCTCAACCAAATGATATAAAACTTATACACAACTGTTCTAGAGTTATGCGTGTTTACAAATAGAAAAATTGCTGAATTTTTAGTTTCTGTTCTCTACTTAAGTTAGCCTCAACCAAATGTTATGAGATTTACACACAATGCTTATTACCACAAACCTTAGATCAAGTTCAAATTTGGGTAGCGTCACTTTTACTGTTCTTCAGTTATGTCCCTGTATAACTATATGATATGCAAGCGGGGGCATCATCTGTGTCCACATATGGACACTATCCAGATTCATTTTCTAATACTATAGGCAACAGGTCAACTATATTTGGTGTATGGAAATATTTTATGATGTACATGTCAGTCTCACAGGTTTTATTTGACCTTGACCTCAATTTCACGGTTCATTTCTCAGTGTTAAGTTTTTGTGTTTTGGTCTGTTTTTCTTCAACTATAAGCAATAGATCAGCTTTATTTGTTGTATGAAAGGATTGTAAGGTGTATATGTCTGTCTGGCAGGTATCATCTGACCTTGACCTCATTTTCATGGTTCATTGGTCAATGTTAAGTTTTCATGGTTAAGTTTGGTTCTGAGATACTATAAGCAAAAGGTCAACTATATTTAATGCATAAATTGATTGTAAGGTGTACATGTCTATCTGGCATGGTTCTTCTGACCTTGACCTCATTTTCATGGTTCATTGGTCAATATTAAGTTTTCTTGGTTAAGACTGTTTCTTAGAAACTATAAGCAATAGGTCAACTATGTTTGGTTTATTGAATGATTGTAAGGTGTACATGTATTTCGCGTTTGGTTTATCTGACCTTGACCTCATTTTCTTGGATCATGTTAAGTTTGTGTGTTACTTGTAGTAAAGCATTATATTTAGGACTATCAACATAAAATCAATGGTTAGTAAAGAAGGCGAGACATTTCAGCTTGTGCACTCTTGTTTAGTTTATTCCCTGACAAACATGACAAGAAACTTAGAATCATGCATAATGTTGTATCATGAATATTGTTCAGCTTTTACAAGATGTTTGCTTACGGTAATACAACCAAAGGCAAGTGTGAGCCATCACCTATATATCCATTTGTTCGTCTGTTTCCATGTAGTTCACCTCGTAAGTTGTTTTCCGCTGCCCATCAGTACGTACCCATTTTAACGGGATATGTTGTTTATATTTTATCTCTTAACAATTTATAATGTGGTGGTTTTTATCATACTGGTCTTAGTCAATATAACTTTTTTTTACCCGCTGGAATCTCCTGGTATTTGTCGAGCCTGCGACTTTTGTCGCAGAAAGCTCGATATAGGGATAGTGATCCAGCGGCGGCATTAGCTAACTTCTTAAAAGCTTTATATTTTAGAAGCTAGAAGACCTGGATGCTTCATACTTTATATAGATGCCTTATGTTACGAAGTTTCCGTCTGTCATATGTCCATTGTTCTTGACCTCATTTTCATGGTTCAATGACTACTTGAAAAAAAAGTCAACATTTTTTGTAATGTTAATTTCTTTCTTATTTTAAGTAATAGGATAACTATATTTAGTATGTGCGTACCTTGCAAGGTCCTCATGCCCGTCAGACAATTTTCATTTGACCTTGACCTCATTTCATGGATCAGTGAACAAGGTTAAGTTTTCGTGGTCAAGTCCATATATCAGATACTATAAGCAGTAGGTCTACTATATTTGGTATATGGAATGATTGAAAGGTGTACATGTCCAACTGGTAGGTGTCATCTGACCTTGACCTCATTTTCATGGTTCAGTGGTCAAAGTTAAGTTTTTGAGTTTTGGTCTTTTTTTCTAATACTGTATGCAATAGGTCAGCTATATTTAGTATGTGCGTACCTTGCAAGGTCCTCATGCCCGTCAGACAATTTTCATTTTTCCTCGACCTCATTTCATGGATCAGTGAACAAGGTTAAGTTTTCGTGGTCAAGTCCATATATCAGATACTATAAGCAGTAGGGCTACTATATTTGGTATATGGAATGATTGTAAGGTGTACATGTCCAACTGGTAGGAGTCATCTGACCTTGACAGCATTTTCATGGTTCAGTGGTCAAAGTTAAGTTTTTGAGTTTTGGTCTTTTTTTCTTATACTATATGCAATAGGTCAACTATATTTGGTGTATGGAAATATTTTATGATGTACATGTCAGTCTCACAGGTTTTATTTGACCTTGACCTCATTTCCACGGTTCATTTCTCAGTGTTTAGTTTTTGTGTTTTGGTCTGTTTTTCTTCAACTATAAGCAATAGATCAACTATATTTGTTGTATGGAAGGATTGTAAGGTGTATATGTCTGTCTGGCAGGTATCATCTGACCTTGACCTCATTTTCATGGTTTATGGTCAATATTTAGTTTTCTTGGTTACGACTGTTTCTTAGAAACTATAAGCAATAGGTCAACTATGTTTGGTTTATTGAACGATTGTAAGGTGTACATGTATTTCTCGTTTGGTTTATCTGACCTTGACCTCATTTTCTTGGATCATGTAAAGTTTGTGTGTTACTTGTAGTAAAGCTTTATATTTAGGACTATCAACATAAAATCAATGGTAAGTAAAGAAGGCGAGACATTTCAGTGTGTGCACTCTTGTTACAGTTTCTTAGAGGAAAAATATATAGATATTCACAAAAATATTTGACTTGTATCAAACAAATATGCTTTTGACTTGACCTTAATATTCAATATTTTCAGTTCATTTTTGTGGATCTAAAACCCTAAAATCCAGGAGCGTCCCCTTATAGGAGTTATTGCCCTAGAAAAAACTAATTTTACTGATTTTTTGCAGAAACTATAATAGATAAAAAGGAATTGTAAAAAGCAAAAGTGTTCAGCAAAATAAGATCTACAGATAAGGCCTAATCATCAATTAACCCCTTTCAGAAGTTATTGCCCTTGAAAGATGATTTTTTTTCCATTTTTGCAGTTTTTGAAATAAGATTACAAATAAGCAAGCATGACTGATTGCGATAAAGGAAAAAAATAAATATCAAAATGGCATATTTTTTTACCAGGTGAGAGATTCAGTCTCTTGTGATCCTTATGTTTATGGAAATATATAGACATTGATATGGGAATTGTTCTTATGAAATTTAAAATCCATAAATGTTCGATAAATGCAAAAGAATCTAAAATGAAATAGCACCTACCTCAAAACCTTCATTTTAATTAGATATTATCCTAATTTGAAGCGTACAAGTAAAGGAATAATCTTTAGCTTGAAAGTTTTCATTCGTATGACATCATGTTTTGCCATGATGTTAATTCGCTAAGATCATTCATGAAAATTTCGCGGAATTTTATTTAATTTTAATTTTATACATTTTCAAAGCTTTAGTGCATTATTTCTTTTTGTTATATATGCATTAGAATAGAAACAACAGTTATGAATATGTTTTTATGCCCCACTTAGGGCACTATGTTTTTCGGTCTGTGCGTCCGTTCGTCCGTCTGTCCCACTTCAGGTTAAAGTTTTTGGTTAAAGTTTTTGGTCAAGGTAGTTTTTGATGAAGTTGAAGGCCAATCAACTTGAAACTTAGTACACATATATTCCCTATGATATGATCTTTCTAATTTTAGTGCCAAATTAAAGTTTTGACCCCAATTTCACGGTCCACTGAACATAGTAAAGGATAGTGTGAGTGGGGCATCCGTGTACTATGGACACATTCTTGTTCAATCTCAATTTGCTTAAAATCCTGGGATCCCTGCATGCATGTGCATTGCACATGAATAGATCACCTTGAAGGTTACGAAAGTAGTTTCGGAAACATGGTTTATCGAAGTGTAAACCAAGGGAAAAAATTCTACCTGACCAATCCATTTCAAGTATTTATAGATATACAAATCATATAAGAATTATATCTTAACTACTCAATAGTCTTATGAAATTGAATATAAAAATAAGGAGATGTGGTATGATTGCCGATGAGGCAACTATCCACCAAAATTCAAATGAATAGTCCATAAACATTTATTCCCAATGTTAAGTACTAATCTTCTGTTTACAGGATGGACATGAAATCTGTTTTGTTGGAGATGAAGGATTTAGAGATTTATCACAAGTAGATCCTAAAGCTGATGAACTTTTAAATAAGGTTGGTTTATATGGTTGTCTAACACACCTGAGTATGTCTGTGATGTTTTGTTATTACATGTACTAGTGTCATACCACTGTTGGTGGACTGTTAGTCCCTTAGTTTATCATTAGCTCAATAATCGGTGCTTTCATTCGTGAGATAAATTCTGATTGTAAAGTTTATAAAAGATACAAGTTTTACATGTATATATAAATACTTTTGAGTAAATTGATGTTTATGTTTTAAGTAAGCAAACAGATTCTTATTTGAATTTTCTTGGTTTTTGTTGAGCCTGTGACTTTTGTCGCAGAAAGCTCTACATAGGGATAGTGATCCGGCGGCGACGACGGCGTTAACTAACCTCTTAAAAGCTTAATATTTCAGAAGGTAGAAGACCTGGATACTTCATAATTTGTATATAGATGCGATATGAACTGAAGTTTCCGTCTGTCATATGTCCATTGTCCTTGACCTCATTTTCATGGTTCAGTGACTACTTGAAAAAAAAGTTCAGATTTTTTGTAATGTTAATTTCTCTCTTATTATGTGTAATAAGATAACTATATTTGGTATGTGCATACCTTGCAAGGTCCTCATGCCTGTCAGACAGTTTTCACTTAACCTCGACCTCATTTCATCGATCAGTGAACAAGGTTAAGTTTTCGTGGTCAAGTCCATATCACAGATACTACATGTATAAGCAATTGGTCTACTTTATTTGGTGTATGTAATGATTGTCAGGTGTACATGTCCAACTGGCAGGTGTCATCTGACCTTGACCTCATTTTCATGGTTCAGTGGTAATAGTTTTGTTTTTGTGTTTTGGTCTGTTTTTCTAATACTGTATTCAGTAGGTCAGCTATATTTGGTGTATGGAAATATTTTACGATGTACATGTCAGTCTGGCAGGTTTTTTTTACTTTGACCTCATTTTCACGGTTCATTGCTCAATGTTAAGTTTTTGTGTTTTGGTCTGTTTTTCTAATACTGTATGCAGTAGGTCAACTATATTTGGTGAATGGGAATATTTTACGATGTACATGTCAGTCTGGCAGGTTTTATTTGACCTTGACCTCATTTTCATGGTTCATTGCTTATGTTAAATTTTTGTGTTTTTCTTAGATACTATAAGCAATAGGTCAACTATATTTTATGTATGGAATGATTTTAAGGTGTACATGTCTGTCTGGCAGGGTTCATCTGACCTTGACTTCATTTTCATGATTCATTGGTCAATATAGAATTTCCATGGTTTGATCTGTTTCTTTTATACTATAAGCAATAGGTCATCTATATTCTGTGTATGGAATGATTGTATTAAAGGTGTACATGTATTTCTGGCTTGGTTTATCTGACCTTGACCTCATTTTCTTGGATCATAAATGTTAATGTGATACTTGTAGTAGAACTTTATATGTAGGACTATCAACATAAAATCAATGGTCAGTATAGTAGGCGAGACATTTCAGCGTGTGCACTCTTGTTTAGAACAATATAGTCAAATTTTAAAAACTAAAATTGAGAATGGAAATGGGGAATGTGTCAAAGAGACAACAACCCGACCATAGAACAGACAACAGCATCAATCTAAACTAAACCGAAACTTTTACTGGGGAAAAAAATAGCAAGCTCTAACTCTGAGTCACTCGCCATGTGGACAAATGTATCTCTGACAAGCTTTAACTTTCTTACAGTTGGACTGAATCATTTTTGTCGAGCCTTTCGACTTTTGTCGAAAAAGCGAGACATAGCGATCCTACATTCCGTCATCGTCGTCGTCGGCGGCGGCGTCCACAAATATTCACTCTGTGGTTAAAGTTTTTGAAATTTTAATAACTTTCTTAAACTATCCTGGATTTCTACCAAACTTGGACAGAAGCTTGTTTATGATCATAAGATAATATTCAAAAGTAAATTTTGTAAAAAATAAATTCCATTTTTTCAGTATTTTACTTATAAATGGACTTAGTTTTTCTGCCAGGAAACATTACATTCACTCTGTGGTTAAAGTTTTTGAAATTTTAATAACTTTCTTAAACTATCCTGGATTTCTACCAAACTTGGAAAAAAGCTTGTTTATGATCATAAGATAGTATCCAGGCATAAATTTTGTAAAAAAAAAATTCCATTTTTTCCGTATTTTACTTTTAAATTGACTTAGTTTTTCTGCCAGTTAACATTACATTCACTCTGTGGTTAAAGTTTTTAAAATTTTAACAACTTTCTTAAACTATTCTGGATTTGTACCAAACTTGGACAGAAGCTTGTTTATGATTAAAAGCTAGTATCTAGAAGGAAATTTTGTTCCATTTTTTCCGTATTTTACTTATAAATGTACTTAGTTTTTCTTCCAGTTAACATTACATACAGTCTGCAGTTTAAGTTTTAAAACATTTATTAGATTCATAAACTATCCTGGATTTTTACCAAACTTGGACAGAAGCTACTTACAATCAAAAGATAGTATAGAGAGGAATATTTTTATTAATTTTTTTCCTCATTTTTGTTGAGCCTGTGATTAACAGCAAAAAGTAGGCGAGACACTGGGTTCCGCGGAACCCTTACGAATTTTTTTCCTTAAAACTCCACTGGTACTATCTTGCGCTCCATCTTCTTTATATGGAAAACTTGCAGATATAAATCAGAAATGTGTTGAAAAAATTCATGAAGAAATACAATTAAATATATGGGCCATATTTGTGTGCCATAAGTATTTATACCTTACCCTCATGTCTGAATGTTAATGTCACGACAATAAAAAAAACTGTGAAACGACTGTCTTTCCAGTTAATATCTTTAAATCAACCCTTCTTATATCATGGTTAAGAAAATATCAGGTTTTATGAGTATTGCCCAGCCCTGTCAGAAAAACTGGAAAAACCTGGGTTTTACTTCGTAATACCGGGCATTACTGGGTAATATGGGTAAAAACTATATCTATTTTCCCGTAGTGTGAATTTGCATACCGGTAGCGGGAGTTCCATCATGGCAGGAGATGCTTACCTTGTCAACACACCCAGTCTCGCTCCTTTCTGAGTTCATGCACTTCCCTCAATCTTTTGTTTACCTTGATTTTTTTTTGCCTTATAAATTTATGAGATTTGATCATCGGTAAACAACTATGGTCCTAATTTTTCCAAAAAAATGTTTTCCATTGATTCAGGCCATTATTTCATATTACCCAGTATTGCTAAGAATTACCCAGTAAAACCTAGGTTTTTCCAGTTTTTCTGACAGGGCTGGGCAATACTCATAAAACCTGATATTTTGTTAACCCTGATGTAAGAAGTGTTGATTTCAAGAAATTAAATGGATCGACAATAGGACACCTAAAAAAAAACCTGAAAACTGTGCATCTTTCATTGTTGCAAGCGTGTTACATAATATAATAATAAGACATTGGTCTAGTTGTTAGAATATATATCATATAAAAAGCTTATGCAATAATGTGACATTTTTGTAGAATAACCATCAAGTATACTTGTGACCAAAAGTATAATTCTTCTTTTGAAAAGAAAATCATGGCCACATACAATAGTAAACTGTTTTACAGCATTTTTCATTAAATTGTAACACAACACTATGTAGAATATTTCCACTTAAGATAACTTTATAATTTTTCAGGCAATGGCAGACGACAAGAGTGATGAATGGTTTGAGAAAAAAGGAAAAACAAAAGCAACAGCATAACTAATCATGGGATGGTGCAATTCATTTAGAATTATTATAGTAAAAAAATTGTAACAATATTTAAATCACATGCTGCCATGACTGAAATCAGTTGTTTGTTTTGAAGTTTATAAATGATTATTAGAACTTTTAGAAACTGCTTGGATAATAAATCTAGCCCATCAATCAATAGAATGCTTAAATAAGCTATAAAGAAATAGTAAACTTTATCGTATTCAGAGTAGTTCGTGTTTACATTTATATTTTTATATTTGAAACAAAAAATAATTGGTAGATTTTGACAACTTTGATACTTTGTAGATTTTTAAATCAAGAACAAAAGAGGGTTTGCCATACCTTATTATTAATGAATAGATTGAATTATTGTTGTGATGATTGAAAATATTATTTTGACATTATGATGTGTGGGGTAAACCTGATGGTTATAAAAAATATAGAGAGGGCATTGTAAAATTTTATCAGCACTCATTATTTTCATAAATATTCAAATTTCTGTGATAACTATTTTAAATGTATATTTATGTGTGAAGGTGCTTGCAGCTTATGAATTTTGGGTTACAGTGGGAACTGACTTGTGCTCATCTGCAATCAATGTACTATATGTGAAAGTGCAATGTGGTTTATTTCACAGAGTTTTAATTTTTTTTTATTTCATAGACAAAACCGGTCCCTGTTGTTTTATTTTCACGTTTTCTTGTCACTTATTCGATCTTCAGTGATAAAACGAGAGGGGATATATTCCAGATTTTATCTAATTCACCAAATTAGCAAAAATAATCTCCTGACATTTTTTTTTTTACTTTACATTATTGGAGAATCTTCATACATAACATGGTCAGCTTCAGAATTTCTGGATTGTTGACACTTTAATTTAAAAGTCAGATGCATACATAGACGGTATACTGCAATATACTCATAATTTACTGTTTCTAAACTTTGATAATGAAAGAGAAGTGATCTATACTTATAAAAATGTACACTTTTTTTATTAAGGTGCTAATGAGAAATATTTTGGAAAGGGTATTTGAACAATTTTATATTTCTAGTAATTAATGTGATTTTAACCAAAGCTGTATTGTAATTTTGTTTTTTACATTGTGATCACATGGTTAGTTGGGAAATGATGACTTACTCCCATAGCAGTTGGAGAATTGTGCTTTTTTACTGAATAAGTATCTTGATGATATACCATATTCATTGTTTATATTGACAATAAGTACCAGTAAAGCTTTGTCAAGGTCCAACATTAAAGATGTGAGAGACACACTGCACTATTCATTCAAGATCATTGAACTGTTACATAAGTTAAGACATTTTGTTGACGTTTTTGTATGCATTCATTTTTTTTTCATGGTTGTTCTATCTCATACACATGTATGGCCTTCAAATTTCAATGAACTTTGGTTTATTAAGAAAGTTTTTTCTGTACAACATACTGTGAGATCACAAGTATTAATTCAATACCAATGTGTATGTGTTTCAAAATTCACTAAAGCAAAGAGGATATTTATTGCCTTGAAATGTGCAAATGTTATTTGTTTGTGTAGCGTGCGGTTTAAATCATTGTGGTTAAAGCCGTGAAGCAAAATTCTATACAACTAGAAAATATTTACATTGATCAGTACCAGTAAGTGGTCTGTCACAGTAACCTATTTTATGCATATTTTTCCTACTTGATAACTGCCAAACAATGAGAGGGCATTTTGTTATGTTAAAAATTTTTTTAGATTTTAATGGTGCATGAATTTATGATGTGCTTTAGACATATATGATTGTTATTTATTGTCAATTATACATTGGATTTAGGGTAAATAAAAATGAAGAACAAAGATGGTTTATTTCGTCTACATCACTAATTTTGATTTCATCAGTGAACCCCAAAGGTCTTGAATGATTTACCAGTAGAAGTTATACATTCATCCATCACATATCATAATTTAAAATGTAAATATCAACAAGGAAGGGTTGAAACAAAACTGCCAAAACTACCTTAACCTCTTACCTCTTAAAGCTGTATTGTTTTGATTTTTTTTTTCACCAGCCCTTTAATGTGCAAAGCCAAAGCAAAACCAACATTGCTAATCAAGCTATAAAAGGCCCAACAATTAGAAATATAAAACAAATCAAACAAGAAGACTAACGGCCTGATTTATGTGCAAAACAATAAACAAAATCCAAATATGATATACAGCAACAAACTACAACCACCTTACAGACACCATCAGAATGTGGCAGGGTTAAACATGTTTGCTAGTGCCAAACACTCCTCCTAACCTTGGACAGCAGTGTAACAGATCAACATAACAAACTATAAAAATCCGTTTAGACTTGATTAACTCATCAGATCGATGCATAGCACAAAAAACTAACATAAACATAAGACACAAAGTAAAGATCTGAGAGTACTCACAGTTATTGAAAGGTAGTTCAAAACTTTAACAACTAAAAAAAACATCATGTATCTTAGACTAAAATATCAATCAGTACACATCCAACATCCAATGGATTTAATGTAAAGATGTCATTAACATAGAAAAACATGACCTTGTGCAATGCAAAAATGTAGGTATCGATAGACTCCTACAGTTAATGTACATATGTTTATAACAATAATTTTTAGTTGGGTTTTAGTTTAATGACAACAAAATCATTAATTATTCCAATTAAAACAATATTCAAAAAGAAAGGCAAAAGATACCAAAGGGATATTCAGACTCGTAAGTCGAAACAAACTGACAAAGCCATGGTAAAAAACAAAAAGACAAACAACAGTACACAAAAAAACATCATAAAAAACTCAAGACAGCAAAACAAACTCCACCAAAAACTTCGAGTGATCTCAGGTGCCCGGGAGGATAAGCAGATCCTGCTCCACATGTTGCATCTGTCGTGTTGCTAATGTAAGTACAAACCCATGGATAAGCCTAATTCTGTCACATTTGAGGAAAAGAGGATGGGATTGTGGCTACAACAATTAGAACTTATCCATCACAATCTGTGAAACAGATATTCCATAGCGGTCAACCAACTCATGATGGTGTCCGTAACATTTTCTAAGGGATGATTTCAACTTCGCCACTTGGAACTCTTGGTTCAATAGTTTCCTTATAAGCAGCAACCCTTTATCACGGAAATCATGATAGGAAATTCCAGTTCTGGAATATCGTTTCAACTTAGAGAAATACACTTCATATGGAGGGGCTGCTGGAATGTTGCTACATTGAAATAGAAAGCTCACAATTGTGAAGCTGAAATCATCTGTTATCGTAAAGTTTTGTTCTCAAGCGACCATCATTGCCAATTTCTAGATGAAAGTTGAGATATGAGGCAGACGTAACTGTATCTGTTGTATCCTTTGGTCAAGTTCAACGGTATATAATAATCAACATAATCACCAAACACTGAACTATTTACTTATAGGACATCATATACATAGTAGAATGTGAAGTAACAGGATAATGCTAGCTTCTTTTCTTTTCACTCTTCATAAGAAGCTCCTGTATGAAGTCAGTCTTGCATGAATAAAGGAACAAGTCGGCAAGAGGAGGCGCACAGTTGGTTCCTCTAAGAATTCCGATTGTTTGTTGAAAAACACGTCCTCCATAAGAGCAAATACATTGTCAATCAAGAAATCAAGCATCTGGATAATGTAAGTTTCAGACAATTTTTTACAAAGTACGTTTTATCCCTCCCGAAGACAAGATACATATATCTACGTTGTTCATTCTTTTTTATGAAGCAAAGTAGAGCCCCCCGGCCAACTATTTCAATATGTCTTTTAGTTTGGAATGGGAAATGCTTTTGCACAGGATAGAAAAGTCAAATGTTTTAAGAGACTTAGATTAATTGTATTCTAACAGATCTTTGGAATTCTTAAGTATCCACTTCTGATTCACACCGCTCCTAGAATAGGTAGTTTCACAATAACTTTAAAGCCTGGCTATGATTGCTGATAAAATTGATGTTAATAATTCAATTTGTGGAGCACTTGGAACACACAGCAATATAATATAGAAATAAGAAGATGTGGTATGATAGCCAATGATACAACTCTTCACCAAAGACCAAATGACAAAAAAGTTAACAACTGTATGGCCTTCAACAATGAGCAAAAGCCATACCACACAATAAACTATAAAAGGCCCCGAAATGGCAAATGTAAAATAATTCAAATGAGAAAACTAACAGCTTGATTTGAGTACAAAATGATAAACGAAAAACATATATGATATAACAACAATCAACAACGAGAGGATTACAAGCTCCTCGCGATGAGACTTGGGACAGACACATACAGAATCTGGCGGGGTTAAGCATGTTTGCTGGCACCAAATCAAACCCTCATTCTTACCTGGGACAGTGGCGTAACAGTACAACATAAGAACAAACTATAAAAATCGGTTGAAAAGGGCTTAACTCACCAGCAAATAAAGCCCCACCAATAACACAGACGACACAAAGTACAGATCTGATAGTACTCACAGTTACTGTAAGCTAGTTCAAAGCCAATAACAACTAATCTCGCCTGTGATTGCTATTGTCAGTGTAAAAATGTAATGTTGACTTGAAAAAACGAGTCCATTCATCAATAAAATACAGAAATTTGAAGAAAAAAATCAAACTTTTTCTTTAGATGCTATTTCGTGGTCTTAACTTCAGTCCAAGTTTCATAACAATCCTTGAAGGTTGACAAATTTATCATGTAAAATTTAACCCGAGACTGTCTGTAAATGTTGACTGTAAAAAATGAAGTCCATCTATCAGAAAAATACTAAAAATGAAAAAAAAATATATTTCCAAAGGTTTGCTTCAGACATCATCTCTTAATCATTAAAAAACTACTGTCAAAGTTTCACAAAACTCTATGAAGGTTTGAAAAAGTAATTGATGTGTAACACACCTTAACTCCAAACTGTATCTACTTGTTAACTGTAAATTAAAAAAACTAAGTCCATTTAATAGTAAAATACGGAATAATGAAAATAAATATTTTCAAAATTTTGCTCTGTATACTATATTTTGGTCATAAACAAGCTTCTGTCCAAATTTCATAAATTTCCATAAAGCTTTGACAAAGCTATTGATGACTAAAAACTTTCACCTCAGACTCAACCTGATGGTTAATTGTAAAAAAAAAAGTCCATTCGTCATGCAGTAAAATACGGAAAAACGAAAAGAAATACTAGTATTTGCAAAATTTTGCTCTGAATTGGGGACTGTCCTTCAGTCATAAACAAGCTTCTGTGCAAATTTTATGAAATTCCATGAAGGTTTGACAAAGTTATTGATGACTGAAAAACTTCCCAGACAAAATCCGAAGTAAACCGTAAAAAAAACTAAGTCCATATATTAGTAAAATACGGAAAAATGAAAATAAATATGTTCAAAATGTTGCCCTGGATTGGGTACTGTATTTTGGTCATAAAAAGCTTCTGTCCAAATTTTATGAAATTCCATGAAGGTTTGACAAAGTTATTGATGACTGAAATACTTTAACCTCAGACAAAAGCTGAAGTTAACTGTAAAAAAAACTAAGTCCATTTATTAGTAAAATAAGGAAAAATGAAAATAGATATATTCAAAATGTTGCTCTGGATACTGTATTTTGGTCATAAACAAGCTTCTGTTTCAATTTCATAAAATTCCATGTAGGTTTGACAAAGTTATTGATGTCCAAAAAAACTTGAACCACAGACTGAACCTAAGTGTTTCGCAGGCTCGACAATAAAAAATCATTTAGCTAAGACTAAAATATCAATCAGTACACATCCAACATCCAATGGATTTAGTGTCAAGACGTCAATGACAGTCACAGAAAACCATGATCTTGTGCAATGCCAAAATATAGGTATCGACAGATTATAGTTACGTTTTTTATAAGGACACTTACCGGTATGTTATTTTGGGTATCCAATACAGGAAAGGAAGATCCAGTTCTTCATCATTGGTTAAAATTTCAAAGGGACATAGAACGGACCTATGCATGATTATTCATGATTTCCTCCTTGGTAAGTGTCGTGGGTATAAATGTTGTGTTTCCGAGTGAATTGTCAATACCTAATTCCTTTGTGAAGCAGTTCAAGTTATGTAATGATATTTACACGGAAAAACGATGTTTTAGGGCTTGATCTGCGTGGATCAGCAACATTTATTTTTTTTATTTCTAATTTGGAGCAACGACTCACAGCCTTAACCCATTCGAAAAGAGTATCTACATCTTCCTTTTCGCGTTTAGCTAATTGCCTGACATAATCCTCGAAAGAGCTAATTGCAGTGTTGCATTGTCAACTTTTAGTTTGAGTTTAAATGATCGGTTACTTTACCCCGATCTTATTTAAATTTACGGTTTCTGTAAAAAAAATTCACCATGATGATCAGTTCCTCGGTAGACAAGTTTTTAATCATTCTTGCTTTTAAAAATTTGGATTTAAGCGTTCCTCGCGAATTTAAGACAAACGTAGCCGAAAGCTCTTCTGATGCATCAATTCTATAAAGTATTATTTTCATGTTTAACCCTTGGTGATGGTAAACACAGTGATCATGCATTGTATACCTTCCCTTTCATTGTTGTTCAATGTATATTGCTGGCAAACAGACATAAAATAATTCAGAAATAAATAAAAGAGTACATAATACGCCTATTTCTAGAATAAGAAACAAACTTCAAGTACTGTCAAAGCGGTTTGTTATTGTACCGGCCGACAAAGCAGCCAACAGTGTGGTGGTGGTATGCCGTAAGTACTACACGGACGTTCATAAGAATGAAATTTTAAATTCATCTAAATTCAAGTCCGTGCGCTCCACAGAGAGTCATATAGTAAACAACATA